TACTGAGTTCTGAGCCCTCCTAGCAAATCACTGAACCTGGACCTGGTCTTGGGGACCTCAGACAGGAGATAAGCCTAGATTTCACAGAGACAACCATAATCCTATACCAATTTCTTATAAATACATAGCTTAAACCAGGGCTGTCCAATAGAAATATAATGTCAGTTGCGTATATGATTTTAAATTTTCTAGCAGTCGCATTTTAAAAAGTAAAAAGAAACAAGCGAAATTAATTTCAAGAATGTATTTTCTTTAACCCAATATACAAAAATATAAACATTTCAACATGTAATGATATAAAAATTTATTAAGATATTTTTACATTATTTTTTTCATACTAAGTCTTCAAAAACCAGTGTGTATTTTACACGTATAGCACATTCAATTCGGAATAGCCACATTCCAAGTGCTCAGTAGCCACACCCGGCTAGTGGCTGCCATCTTGGATAGCACAGGCTGAGAGGTTAATGGCAAAGGCTCTGGAGACAAGATATCTGGGTCAGAATACTGGTTCTGCCACCTACCAACTGTATGACCTTAAGCAAAGTTACTCAACCTCTCTATGTATTCGTTTCCTAATCTGTAAATTGGGGATAATAAAGTTAACTACCTCATGAGGTTGCAGAGATTTTTCAAAAAGTTAATAAATCTAAGGCAGCACCTGGTAGGTATAGGTTGTTAGGTGAATGCTGGCTGTTACTCTTTTTATCCAAATGCTTGGCCCTTGAGATCCACTTGTCTAAGTCCTTGTTATATAGATGAGGAAACTGAGGCCCAGAGTTTGGAAGGCACTAGTTTCAACAGCAAAGGCTCTAGCCACCTTTCCTCTTGATGGACTCTGTGTTTCCCGGCTGGCTCTGAGACTGGATCAACTATTCAGGAAACCAGCAGTTCCGGGGCCCCCCACCTGGGTTCTGCAATCCCTTCTTGATTACAGAACGGGGCCATTGTTTGAAAGTTTCAGATGGAGGCTGGGCGTCCCTTCTCCTGCCCCTCCTGGACCCATCAGTTGGGCTGGCTGACCCCATCACTGAGTCCAGTGCTTAGTCGGCAGTGATAGGGCTGGCTTCCATTGTTTTGGCTTTTAACAGCCCTGCTTGTTTATTAACTCATGTCCTATCTTCCACAGAGCATCAGCACTTTTTTTAAACCTCCTGTTAAATCATTTGCCGCCCCCATCCACCCACCAAGCAGGTAGGTAGTGAGCTGCCTGTATATGTCTCAAAAAGAGAGAGTGAAGATGTACTGGGTGCCCCCTTGTCTGGGATGCAGTAGAGCACATTCTCAGGCTCGGAGCAAAGCTAGCTTATGATTCCTCTACAGCGTCTGTCTCCACCCTATCCTTCCGGAAACCCAACGCAAATCATCCAGTATTCTCTGATAAGCTCACTCAGCATAATTCACACGTCTCGAATCTTACTAGCAGCTGGAATCAGACCAGTTTTGTGGGCCCAAACTTGTTAGCACATGCTGACCTGAAGCTCTGCTTATTCTATATGCCAAATAGTGTTTTATTTGACATTCATGTCTTTAATTGATATTTACGAGCATCTACTATGTAGTAGGCCCTGTGCAAAGTGCTGGGAATGAATCTTTTGTGTACCTTATGATTTAGTGTAGAAAACAGACAAACAAGAAATGATGATAAAGTACAACAAAGGGCTGATGTAGAAAGTGTCAAATAATCTAGGGACTATAATAAAGCAAGAGGAACCGAACACTTTTCTTAAGAAGTGACATTTAAGTTGAGACCTGAAAAATGGTAGGAGAGAACCAGTTGAAGAGAGAGAACGTGGAATGTTCCAGGCAGAGGGAATAGCCTAGACAAAACCTGGAGGTAAGAGAGAACGACCTGTTGGAAGAACTGAAAAGAAGTGCAGAACAGCTGAGGTAGGGAGAATGGGAGGAGCGTGGCAAAAGATGAGGAAGCGGCTAGATTTTGAGGACATTGTATGAAGCGTTAAGGAATTTGGACTCTAACCCAAGGGCAAGAGGAAACAGCCCGGTGAAGAACAACATCTTTCAAAACATAGGATTCCTGGGAACAAGTCAACCAAAGGCTAAGAAGGCTGATGGTGGAAAGACTAGGAAGTACTGTTTTCATTCTCATCATCATGCTCTTTGTACCAAGGCTCAGGCCTCCTTTGAAAGTAGTCTGTAGCACAAAGACCCTCCTCCATGCCGGGCCTTGCTCCCTGACTTCCCACCCCACTGTCCATGAAATCAGTACTCCTGAGTTTGGTTGGTGCCACACAGGCCTTCCTTAGACCCTGGGAACTGTAGAGCCATGGAGACCACCCCTGAGAGATTGTCAAAGACTCTTGTTTAACAGACGGACCCACTGAGGCCCAGAGAAGGAAGGTAACTTCTCTGTGGCCCCACCACAAGCCTCAGGCCTCTGACTCCTTCTTGTCTCCCTCGAAGAAACTGAACACCAGGGCTGGGACTAGAGTGAGGCAAGTGAAATTTAAGGCAGTGCTCACTCAGGTGCCCACTTGCCTCATCCTAGTCCTGGCTCTGTTGGGCACATCTTGAGGGCAGGGATTGTAACTTCCAGAGCACTCTTTGAAATCTCTTATAGTGTTAATGTGAAGCTAGGCACATATTTTGAGGGCCACTAGATGCCTACTGATGCTGATGAACAATGGATTTCTGACAACTAATAGGTATACAGGTGTTTGTATCTTTGGGTAAATATGACCTTCAAAAGACAACGGAACAAGGCGAAGATGGCCCGAGACTGGAGTCTAGAGACTTGGATTCTGGTCCCCTCTCTGCCACTGATTTGCTCTAGGAACTTGGGTAAGTTGTTCTCCATCTCTAGGCTTCAGTGAAATGAGGTGGTTGAATAAATACCATTTATTGAGCACATACTCCGTGTGGGCCACTGTTCAAACGCTCCTGTGCTGTAACTTATTGCAAGACTTCCTGGCCTTCAAGGCTCTCTTCACTTTAACAGGCTGGGGTTTGAGGTAAGGAAGGCTTCATGGAGAATATGGAACAAGAGACTGACTTTCCAGATTCCCATGGGGACAATAATATCTCAAATTGTAGTAGAGATATGGTATCTCAAGACATTTCTTGGTCAGAAGAGACTTCTAAAGGGCACCTAATCCTGCGACTCCCACCACCAAGACTGTGGCCACACCAGCTGCCTCAGAATCACCTTTGGAACATGTCTAAAGGCAGATTCTCAGCCTCTGCCTCTAAAGATTCTAATGCAGTGATGCTGATGTGGGGCCTGGGAATCTGTATTGAAAGCTTCCCAGGTGATTCTGGTAGTCAGACATCAGTCAGTAGATCAGACACTGATCCCAACGCATTCCCCCATCTGTGGACAGGATCGTGCCTAGACAGCCCAGACCTAGAGCTGCCTGACCTGATCGTAAGTATCTCCAAGCAGAGAAATGAATTTATTGATTGATTAATGCAGCAAATATTAAGCACCTGTTGTGTTCTAGGCCCTGTGCCAGGTGATGATTATGGTCCCTATTCTCAAGGGACTCCTGGTCTAGTCTGTCACGTATTTTGGAAGCAAGTCATCTAGCCAGAGCCAGAAGTACCTTAGAGATCATCAACCAATCCCATCATTACGCAGTTGGGGAAACTGAGGCCCAGAGAGAGAAAGCAACATGTTCAAGACTACACAGGGAGCAAATGCATTTTCTGCTCCCGAACCAGCTGAGGTATCCCAATATTCTTCCCAGGAGGGGGCTGCATTCAAAAGCCAAGGACACTCACTCTTTGCTTCTTAAGCACTAAACCTACATTGAGTAAATGTTCGTGAAAGTCTAACTTCAGATCTTGCTGACGTTTTAAATCTTCAACATCCCTTCAACTGGAATGGAGGCAGGAGGGAAGAAGGAAAGCCACGGGGAATATAAATTGGTGCAGCCACTATGGAAAACAGTGTGGAGGTTCCTTAAAAAATTAAAAATAGAACTACCATATGATCCAGCTATTCCACTTTTGTGTATTTATCCAAAGGAGACAAAAACACTAATTCAAAAAGAAATATGCATCCCTATATTCATTGCCACATTACTTACAACAGCAAAGATATGGAAAAAACCTAAGTATCCATTGATAGATGCATGGATAAAGAAGATGTGATATATATATATTCATACAATGGAATATTATTCAGCTATAAAAAAGAACAAAATCTTGCCATTTGCAACAACATGGATGGACCTAGAGGGTATTATGCTAAGTAAAATAAGCCAGACAGAGGAAGACAATTACTGTATGACTTCATTTATATGAGGAATGTAAAAAACAAAACAAACAAATAAATAAAACAAAACAGAAACAGGCTTATAAATACAAAAAACAAACTGGGGGTCGCCAGAGGGGAGAGCGGTTGGAGGGTGGGTGAAATAGGTAAAGGAGATTAAGAGGTACAAACTTCTAGTTATAAACTAAATAAGTTATGGGGATGTAATGTACAGCATATGGAATATAGTCAATAATATTGTAATATCTTTGCATGGTGACAGTTGGTAACTAGACTTATCCTGGTGATCATTTCATAATGTATATAACTATTGAATCACTATGATGTACATCTGAAACTAATATGATATTGTATGTCAACTATACCTTAATAATAAATAAATAAAGTATATAGACGTAATCATAAAAATAAATAAAGCAAGCAAGCCTAGCAGTAGGAAATGCTTCCCAGGATTGAGCCTTCCATCAGATCTTCGGTGCTGTTTAGCGCCCTTTCCCTGGCTGTGCTGGAGGATATTGCGCCTGCCTCCTCCTGCACTTTAGAGCTCAAAGAAGAGGGGGCTGCTTTGCGGATTAGCAAGGACCTGGCTCCCATCTCTCTGCCCAGAGACTTGCTTATGTCACTGTGGCCCGGAGCCTGAGGAGGGGGAGAAGCGGAGGGTAAATCGTGCCCGCCCCTGAAATCCCAGCCGCCCCGCGATTGGCTACAAGGACACCCTCCGGGCCGCTGATTGGTCATCGCTGAGGGCTTGAAAGGTGGCTGGGAGCGTCGGACACCTCAGACGGACGGTGGCCCGGGATCGGACGGCGTTTCAGGGGAGCCCGAGACGCGCCGCCAGCCCACCATGGCCCGGCTGTTCCGGGCATCCTGCCTTCTCTCCCTGCTCCTGGCCGGCTTCGTCCCGCCGAGCCGGGGACAGGAGAAGTCGAAGGTGAGTGAGCCTCCGGGGTGGGGGCCGGGGGAACGAACATAGCCCCCAAGTGTCCGTCTCTCGGGGGCGAGGCACCCCTCTCCCCGGGCTCCCCTCCAGAAGGGCCACACCTAGGTGCGAGGGACGCCCGTAACTCGGGTTGCCTCCCACTCCGCCGCCGGGACCCCCGCCCCTGGACTGTCGGTCTCTTCGCAGTTCACCTGTTGGAGACCTGGCTGCCCTGGGTGGGAAGAATGAATAGGGGAGGAAGGTCCCTCTGCCGGAGTTCAGACTTTTCGCCGGCCGCCCACGGTTACCTCAGGGTAGCCTTGCTACATCCATGCCACAGCTGTCCCTGAGCTACTCCCCTCCAGTGGGGCCTGAAGGGGGTGGGAGCGCAGAAAAAGGCCTAGAGATTTGGCGCCTGGTTGGCTGCGGAGGTTCCCAGGGAGACTCACAGACAAGGAGAAAGGGAAGGAGAATGCAGCGGAGTGTCCTGGGCTTGAAGAATTGCCACAGGGGGCTCTTCTAGCCCAAGAATAAACGCAGGTAGAAATGCTCCCTGTGATTCTAAGTCATTGGTAGAAGAGGCAAAGATCTGTGACAGAAAGAGCTTTGCACTGGCAGTACAGAACACCCAGGACCCTGACTAGATCTCTAATCCTTTCTGGGCCTCCGTTTCTCCATGTGCAGGTGGTGGGGAGTGGGGCCAAGGGCATAATGAAGCTGATGATTTCAGAGGGCATGCTTGGAGAAGGTGCCAAATCTACACGCTGTTCTCTGAAGGGTTTTCTGTTCTGGAGCAGCCTCACTACCCATTACCCACTGCCCATATTGGCCTGAGCAAACCTGGTAGTTGGAGAAAGCTGGGGACTGCCAGCTCAGAAAGAGAGGCAGAATTCCCCTGAGCCTGTCTATCCCCAGCGGAGTGTGTGACCCTTAGCTGGAGAGGGGATGCTGAGGCCAGGAGCAGGGGTCACCCAGCATGCTTAACTCTCTGGACCGTATATGCCAAGTTGGGCACTGTAGACGTCTCTTCCCCAGAGTAGGGAGGTAGAAGCCAGGCATAGGTATAGAGAGATTTCTGTCTCCAACATCCCAACACACATTACACACACACACACACACACACACACACACACACTACGCTTGTGTAAGCTCAAGAAGAAGCTTTGAGCTTTTGTGTTTCTAAAATCTTCTGGGTCTTTATTCTAAGATCTTTTAACTCTACAATTCTGTTTCCAAAATCCTATCTACTGCTCAAGAAACCCACTCCAAGTGCAGGGTCCCTTCTGTCTGTTTCTATCCCCCATCCTGTCCTCAGCGTAAATCTCATTCAGTCTGCCCCTCCTTGGAGTCAGCCCAGAGACTGGATGACTATGAGGCCACTTCCTCCAAGTCTCCTCCTTTGTATTCAGCTTTGTTCATAATCCCCAACTCAGAAGGCATTTTCTAGTGTAGGGATGGGGCTGAGTTTCAAGATTGGGGTGTGGGGTAGAGGTAGGGGTAGACCATGGGCAGGCCAGTACCATGGAGTCAGTCCTATACCCTCAGTTTGGGGAGAGTCAGAGAAAGGAAGATTAGGCACTGCCTCAAGAAGGCTGGAGGTAAGAACTTGGACCCCATGAACAGCTCATCATAGCCATATGTTCTCTGTAGGGCTTGGGAGGAATAGATGGATTCAGAGAGAACACAATGGGTATGGTCTAGAAAACTCTTAGGGTGAGGTGCGATTATATCAGATGCAACCAGCTAGGACTTGCTGGCTAATGACAGTCTGGGCTTGCCTATCTCTCCTCCCAGGTCCTGAGAGAGTTGAGATGTCATAGCCCAGGGTCAAGGGATGGGGTTGGGGGGCATGTGGAGAATGGGATGGACAAAAGGTGACAGCACCAGAGAGATGTTGCCTCCTTCCAATTCAAAGGAGGGGCTGGGGGACAAAGGGAATCCTTCCCTGGGTGTGTCCCCTCTCCAGTCCAGCTTACAGCTGCTGAGGCCCCTGTCCTTGTTCTATAAAAGGCCTGCAGAAGCTGGAGAGAGGAACAATTGCTGACATGCATGGGATCCTAGTAACCACTGGTTTCTAGGTGACTAAACCAGGCAGAGAGAATCATGGAACCACAGGCTGACAGGCAGAGCTGAAGGGTCATTAAGACAGCACTGAATCCGACTCCATCTCACAGTCGAGAAGCTGGAGCCCCAGAGAAGGGAAAGGAGTGGTCACACAGTCAGAGGCATGGCCAGGCCCAGAACTCAGGTCTCCTGCCCCCAGTCCAGTTCTCCTTTTGCACCTTCACGTTGAAGGGAGTGGTGAGATGGGAGAGAAGAAAGACACAAGACCAGGAGCCCAAGCCAGCCAGGGGCCTGGCTGAGTCCCCTCTCTAACTCTCAATCCGTCAGAACTCTCCTGTCTTGTCCAGCTGTGGGAAGACTGAGACACCCTCACTGCCTCTCCTCACCATCTCCTCTGGCCTCCCTGTTTAAGGGGCAGGGCTCTGGGATTCCATGGGCCCAGAAAATGGAAGGCAGCTCACATTAAGGACTGGGCTGCAGTGCTCAGTGGTGAGTGCAGGCCATGGCTTCCCCCACCATGGGCCACCCTCTGACCCCCATCAATCTGAACCCACAGCACTGGCCTCACTGGCCCCAGTAGAAAGTGTGGAGGCTTTGTCACTTTTCCATCCTTGTGGAGAGACCCTGCCCAGTGCATCATCTTCTTCATAGTGGCTGGGGAACATCAGGGCCCTTTTCCCTAGACACAGGCAGAATAATCACCATCCCTTGATGTGGAAATTTCTTTCCAAGGGGCTTTTGAGACTATTTGAACTGCCAATAGATTCTCACAGCCATTTGGGAGGCAAGTGGTGTTATCCTTGCCTATCAGCACACAGAGGCTCAGAGAGTGAAAGTGACTTGCCCAGGGTCACACAGCCAGCAAAAACTAAAACTCAACGAGAGGAAATTCCTCTTGCCCCACCCGGGCCCTGAAACTGTGCCCAGAAGCTGATCTTCCTGTTGTTTACAAGCTTCCATTACATGGACAACCTCCTGGCTTTTTTCCTCTCCATTTCCCAGAGTTCCTTTTTGGTTCGGGCCGGGGTGGAGGAGGTGGGGAGGCGGACAGCTAGACCTCTGTGGCCAGCTGGGGTGTGTTTGTTGTTCCCTAGTTGTTGGTATTTTGAGGTGGAACTGACCCCAGCTGGCGCCAAGGAGGCCCAGGGGCTGGAGGAATGTTGATCTTAGGTCTTAGGCCTGCTTCCAGCACCCACCAAAAGTCACAAGGCATGGAATATTAGACTCATGTAAAGCAGGGAATTTGCCCCAAAGCCAAGAAGAGTGCTTGCAGCTGTCAGGGAATGGCTTGGTGGAGGGAGCCCCGCTTCACCTGGCTCGGCAGGCCTGCGTTGGCATCTTCAAGACAGAGGCGGCTTTCCTACACCCTCCTGGAGTCACTTCCTGCCAGCCCAGATGGCTCCCTTCACCCAGTTGGGCCCAGCTGCCTTACCTCAACAGCAAGTCTTCCATGATTGATGGGAAGTGAGGGTGTGAATTTGCTTCTCTAACCCTAACCACCTGTCTCTGTCTCTCCGGGTCTATAATGCTAGTTTGCACTTGATTTGTTGATTGTCTTTCCACCTCTAGTAGGATGTCAAGGCCAGAAAGGACCTCAGAGATCACCTGATACCATGGTTGCAAGCTTTTTCCTTTCCCATCACAACTGGTCCGCCTGCTGATTGTGTTGTTGATACAAAGGCACCCTTTCCAGATTTTTGTAGTCTGTGCCAAAAATTGTAACAATAAGGGTAGAGTGTGGACAAATGCAGTATCCTGCTTGCTAGCAGTAACCCCAATCCCTCCTCTCCCATTGAGAGTGATGCTGTCAAGCCAGCATGGTTCAGAATGGCTGATCCAGTTCAAGGTTCTCATTTTACAAATGAAGAGACTGAGGCTCAGAGAAGAGAAAGGGCTAGTCCAAGACCACACAGGGAGTTGGTGGCAGAGCTGGACATGGAATCCAGGTCCCCCAACTTGCAGTCCATTGTACGCTGTTCCTACTTGTTCTGGAGGTTGACTAGAGCAGCAGTTGGGCAAAAAGGAAGGCATAATAGTCATCGTCACCGCTGCCCACTCACAGGGAACATCTAATATATGCTAGGTGCTGTTGCATTACTCTTCCCATCACATCCAGTCCTCGAGGCAGGCCTTTCCGCAGCCCTGGCTCCTGTCCTACTTCCCTGTTTTATAATGACAGCCTCAGCTTCCAGTCCTCCAGATTGGGAACTTCTGAATCACCACTCTCCATCCTGCTGCTTCCTCCTCTCTGTTCAGGTCTTCTTTCACAATGGTCTAGTCCAGGCCCTCATCATCACTTGCCCGCATTATTCCAACAGCCGCCCAACCAGTCTCTACAAGCCCATGCAATAATGCAGCCACCAGCATCAGGACAGAGTAATGCAGAAGTAATGATCACAGTAAGCAATGCTCCAGATTTCCATAGCACTCACCAGCTTATTAAGTGCTTTCATAATCATTATCTTGTACAAGGAATTAGGAGCCCTCAGTTCCAGTCCAGTTCCAATTCTTAGAGTGATCTTGAGCAAGACAAGACCACTTAGGTAAGTCAGTTCCACCTCTCCCTGTTGGGATCCGTCATTATCTTGAAAATGGCGATGTCCAAGTTTCCTTCCAGTTCTAATGGCTCCCTGGCGCTGGTCTTCTTCTGTTCCAGACGGACTGCCATCCTGGGGTGAGTGGCACCATCTATGATTATGGAGCCCTCACCATCGATGGGCAAGAGTACATCCCCTTTAAGCAGTATGCTGGCAAATACATCCTCTTCGTCAACGTGGCCAGCTACTGAGGCTTGACAGGCCAGTACGTTGGTAAGAGCCCACCCCGCCTCCCCTGCTTTATTTGGGGTTGTTTCTGCCAGTTGAGCACATTTCAATCACAGGAGCTTTTTCGCGTACAAGGGGGAAATGATGACAGAGATCATGAGATTCCAAACCCTGTCTCCCAATTCTACTGTGTTCCATGGTTTTATGAAGATGATTATATAAGCCTGAGGTCTGATCGCCTTTGAACATGTTCTAGAAGATTCCCAGTTACCCTTCTTCATCCCTGGGCACCTCAATTGCCCTAACAGCAGAAAGATGGAGGAGATTGGGTTTGTGCCTGGAGTGTCCTGTCCTCTCACTGGAGTAAGAAATGGTAGCTTTGGCTTGCTGAGAATTTCTCATCTGCCCTCAGCCCCATCTGCCTTAGTGCTTCTCCTGGCTCCCATCTGGAAAGCAGGCAGTTGCCCTGAGGCCACAGAGTGTGTGTGCTAGTGCCAGAACCGAGCGTTTCACCCAGGTTTCTTGATCCCTAGTATCCTCACTCCTTTCTCCTTAGCTGGGCAGAGTAAAGAGCCTGAGGGAACAAGCAGGTCAAAGGCATCTGACAGCACCTCCAGGAAAATGCTTTGGGACTGAGCACAGTCCTCTGGTGGGGGCTGCAGGGAGGCAATGGCAATCTGACCCTGAATGTTCTGCCTGGCAACTGCAGGCAAATTCCTGGAAGTGGAATGACAGTGGGCTGGATGGCTCCGTGGGCAGGGAGTGCTCTGTCTAGCCTTTGGGATAGAGCAGAGTGCATTTGTGGGAGATGGGCTGGGTGCTGGCACTGGACAAGAGGCCAGGAGGCACTGAGGGAATTGGGGAGCTGGGCCAGGGCCTCCCTTGGATTCCTGAACTAGAGTACAGGAGGGTTGTGAGGGCCCCACCCCACCACGTTGCCACATTCACTGGGTGATCTTAGGCAACGCCCTTTCCCTGCCAGGCCTCAGTGACTTCAGCTGTACGACAGGTGAGCAGGTGGAGTGGTACGGCTGAGACAGGGCTCCTCACCAGGCTACCCCTGTCCCTGCTCTCTCCCTGGCGCAGAACTGAATGCACTACAGGAAGAGCTTGCACCATTTGGTCTGGTCATTCTGGGCTTCCCCAGCAACCAATTCGGAAAACAGGAACCAGGAGACAACTCGGAGATCCCACTCACCCTCAAGTGAGTGCTCGCTCAGCGTCCTGAGAAAGCTCCTCTGGCACAGCCACCCTGTGCCCCAGCCCAAGCTGCAGGCTTCTCCTGCATTGGCCCCTACTTATGATGGGCATTCATCAGCCACCAAGAACGACTCTCCTCTTCCAGGACCCCCATTTGTGGAATGAGTGGAAGAGGGGACAGGAGAGGGAGAGGGACAGGGATGGCTGGTTGTGAGTGCATGATGGAGTCAGGGGGAGTGCAGGTGGGGGGCAGGGGTGACCGAGAAGACACCAAACTGAAAAAGATGACTGCAGACCCGCATTACGCCTATGCCTATTCCGTATTCATTGGCTCCCACTGGCCACTATGGAATAAAATCCAGATTCCCAACACCCCCTCCCTGTTCTGTCCCTTCCTCTCATTTCTGAGCCCTGTGCCCCTCTCTTTGGGACCCACATAAGAACATTCCTCGTAGGTATGTCCGACCAGGTAGGGGCTTCGTCCCCAATTTCCAACTCTTTGAGAAAGGCGATGTGAATGGGGAGAAAGAGCAGAAGTTCTACACATTCCTGAAGGTAAGTGCACAGCCACCTCTGTAGGAGCCTCTCTGCCCAGTGACACTGGCTCTGGACAGGGCTGCAGCCACTCCCGGCTCCAGCCCATGCAGAGACAAGGCCCATGCCGCCCTCCCCTGTTCCTGGGCCCTTGGGGAATTTCTTGATATCTGACTATTGTTCCAACTAGAGGGCTTTGCAGACCCTTAGGAACTCATCATCCCATTTTATAGATGAGGCCCAGGCAGGGCCCCAGAAGGAACAAGCCAAGGGTCTCACAGTGTGCTAGAGCCAAAGCCGGTTCTGGGACTCAGTTTGCTAACTCCAACTGGTGCTCTTTTCTCAGGGCCAGGCTGTTCTACCCCCAGGAAGGCCTGGGGAGGACGAGAGTGGGAGGGGAAGGGCAGGAGGGGCTCTAAGCAGGGTTGACGCTACTCTCATCCCCGCTCCAGAACTCCTGTCCTCCCACCTCGGAGCTCCTGGGCTCACCTGGCCGCCTCTTCTGGGAACCCATGAAGATCCATGACATCCGCTGGAACTTTGAGAAGTTCCTGGTGGGGCCAGACGGTAAACCCATCATGCGCTGGTACCACCGGACCACAGTCAACACTGTCAAGATGGACATCCTGGCCTACATGAGGCGGCAGGCAGCCCTGAGGGCCATGGGGAAGTAACTGAGGCCCACCCACCTCATGTCTACCATGCAGGGGCTGGGGAGGGACTCTTTCAGGAAGGAATCCATTTCTCCACCCACACCACACTCCCACCACAAACCCCTTACTATTACCCAAGGCCCCAGCCTGACACAAACGTGTGCATACAATTGTATCTGTACTATGGTACATGTGGGTGTTTGCACGCATGCCTACAGGTATGTGTGTGCACGTGAATGTACAGCCACATGTCCACCTGTGTGAATACCTGGGAATGTGTACCGTATGTGTGCCCACAGCTGTGTGCTGTGGAGAGTGCTAGAGAACAACACCCCTTTCTCTCCAGTTCTCTGTTCCAATGATAACAATTCACTTTCAGCCAAGCCCAAAGGAAAAACCAGCTCTAGATTCATTGTTCTACTCTAAACTGGACCTCAACCTTGGGACATCTCCCACTGCCTCTAAATACCACCACTGAAGTGCCCAGAAGTTTCTGGGTCTACCATACTGCCCAACCTCCCTCCTCTCCATCGTACAGCCTCTCTCCTTCCTGAAGGGCCCTCCCAAGCCTCCTACCCCACCCCAAAGTGCTCCCTGAGAGCAGCCAAGGCGGACGTGAGAGCAAGGGCCACATTCCCCATCGCAGGGGTGGCATCTCCATGAAGGAGGGGCCCGAAGCCCTGTGGGCGGACCTCCCCAGAGCCTGTCCAGAGGGCCAGCCCTTAGTGCATTCAGGCTGAAGCCCCTGGGCAGGGATGCCACCCCCACTCCTTTGGAGGATGTGCCCTCTCCCCTCACTCTGGCCCACTGCCATTAGACTCACCCCTGTCTGCCCAGTAAAGGCCTTTCTGCAGCAGCAAAGTCTACTGTGGTGCTTCCTCAACGGGGCTGCCCTAGCTGGGGGGAGGGAGGGAGGTCGTAGGAAAAGATAAGAAATGAACTAGTGCCTCGGGCCCTTGCTCTTTGGTTTCTATCCCGGCCCACTCTGCTTCTCTAACTCAGCATTTAGACTTTATAAAACCAGTTCACATCTACTCTCATTCCCTCCCACAATTCTCTAAGGCAGCTGGGGCCGAGATGGGGTGTTCCATTTGACAGGTGAGGAAACTGAGACCCACAGCAGGGCCAGGCCTTGCACAGTATCTCCTGACGAGTTGGGGCAGGACTGGAATTTAAACTCAGGTCGCCTGACTCTCAGCCCAGGCTCCTTCCAATGCCCCAGCCTCAGGGAGGCTCTGAGCAGGGCCCTAGGGGCCATCTGTCAAGAGTAATGGGAAACTCTGGGGGGCCGGGGGGAATGGGGCACAGAGGAAGCGGACTGGGAAAGCAGCCCTCTGAGTGACCAGGAGGGGAACATTAGCCAGGGCGTAAAAGAACACTAGTCACAGAATGTTGATCTTCAACTTGGATTTATGTCCAAGATTCGTGCAAACAGCTGCCCAAGGACAGACAGCCACCCCAGTCTGGGCCTCTGGCGCCACAACCCTCCAACTGTGGGGCTGAGGGCCTGGCAGCTTCAGGCTGGGCCCTTCAGCGGTTGTGGCTCGTATGGCATTCATCCCAGGCTGCAATGGCGCTGGCAAGGCTGTCGTGGGCGGAGGTGGTGGGCTCTGCAGCAGAATGTCCATCGTTCTCTTCTGCTCCCGGTGGCAAACCCGCTCTTCCCGCAGCAATTCAGAGGGGAAGGGATAGGTGTGGGGCAGGTCCTGCTACTACAGAGCTTAAAGCAAAAATTATAACACACACACACGAAATGGACGTGGTCCTCAGAGGCGCTGGAACCACTTCTGGGGAAGTTTTGAAAGGAAGGGGTCTCGGCTGCACCCCACTCTTGAGACTGACGTCCCCCGGCGGCTTCCACAAAGGATGGCAGATCAAAGCGGCATGAGGTCTCTCTCCACTCGGTGGTGGTGGCTGGGTAGTGAGCTTTTCCCCAGGCACTCCAAAGGAGGGGCCCAAATGGAAGCCTTCCGGGTGGAGCCTCCCCAGTCTGTAAACAGTTCAGGTCAGAGCCGGGGCACAGGCTGGCCGTCCATCTCAGCCTCCCGTCTGGCTGCAGCTCTGGCCACACAGAGCACGTAGCCTCTAGTTTTTCGGTAATCTGAGATCAGCTGGCTCTGCAAGACGAAGATGGAGCCAAGTGATGTAATCTGGTCTCACTGAGGCCTCTCGCGGTCATTTTTTGTGGACTCTAAATAAACAAAAATTTTGAGGGCTTAAAGATGATGTGGTATGGTAGGTTTCAAAGTCCTATGGAAACCAATACAGTAAGAGTGAAAATAAGAGCTGGAGTTACTGAGTGTTAGTGAGTCCCAGGCCCTGGGCTAAGTGCCTCAGGTACATTTGTCATCCAATTCTTGCCCAGCCCTATGAAGCAGGCAGACTGTTATCCCTCTGTGGAGGAGTGAGCTGGGGCACAGAGAGGTTTTAAAAATCTGGCCCAAAGTCCCAGATCCTGGAAGTCTTGGAGCCTAGTCAGTCTGGCTCCAGATCCCAGAAGTGGTGCAGTTCTGGGGGAGGGGACAGCCCTGGCCACTTGGCCACCCTCTGCCCCTCATCAAAGAAGCCTGTGACGGGCTCCACAGAACCTCTAGGGCTCTGCAGGGAACCATTAGGAAATGACTGAGCAGCCCAATCCTTCCTCCCAACCACTAAATCCTCCAAACCACACTCCCCCAAGTCGCCCTGGGGCCTCTGCTCGCACACATTCTGGAAGGGGCACTCTACCCTCATGCTGAGATGGGCTCAGCCTCCCCATCGCTCTTACCCACTAGCTGCGTTTCTGGCCCCAGAAGCCCACAGGCAAGGCAGTGCCTTCTGCCCCATGAGAGCCTTGCAGAAAGCAAAGGTAGTCACTAAGGGCCAGAGTCTTCTCGTAACCAGTGAACAGCCCCAGTCCCTTCAACAGGGGTCCCTGCTTATGGTGGACACCATGGCCAGAGGGAGCTTTTCAAAACGTAAAGCTAATCTGTCATGCCACTCTTTAAAATGTCTTTAAAAATGTCCAAGGACTGGACGTCATCCTGAAGTACCCTGCCATGGTCTGCAAGGCCCTACCTGCCCAGGAACCGCCCACCTCCTGACCTTGCCTTGCCTGTCTCTCCTTCCCCACCTTGTTCTCGGCTCCAGCCACACTGGCCTTCTCTAGATCCTCAAGTCAGCCACAATTCTTCCCTTCCTCCCACCATGGCCTTTGTATTTGTCATTTCTTTGCAAGAACATCCTCTACTCCTACCTCTTCACCTAGTGAATGCCACTCATTCTGAGGGTCTCGACTCAAATGTCATCGCCCTCCATCTAGGTCAGGTTCCTTGGTTATCTGCTCTCATAGAAACCTGCTCTTCTTCCTTCAAGGCACTGGAGTGCAATCATATGCCTGTTTGTGGGATTTCTTTTCATTCATTTCCGCCTCCCTCAGCGGACAGGAAGCTGCATGAGGACGGGGACCGTCACACCTGCTCCTGCTCTCTCTCGGCTTCCCCAGCACCAGCCCAGCGCCTGACATGCAGACCCTAAGTTATAATGAACGAATGAATGGTTTCAATCTCCTCACCCTGGAGTCACCATCCTTTTCCTCTCAACACTCTTTCGGAAGCTGGGCCTCTCCTCCACCAAGATCAGAAGGCAGCAACATCATCCCCAAACCAGGGCCATCTTGGCAGATAAGAAGTTATCTCCCCCAGGAGAAGATAAGAGCCAATCCTAGGGGTCCCACTCACCTGGTTCCGCAGGCCTGGCTGTGGGCGAGTCCATCACTTGGGAGCTCTGATTGTGTATCCCTCCACAGGGCGGCCGCCAGGTGTATTCTGGCTGCAACAAAACTGGGCTTAGTAATCAATAACCACATTTGAAAATGACAATAGCAGCCACTGTGCCAGAAGAGTGCTAAATACATACTAATCAAGTGTAACTGAATCCTCTCCCCAACAACCCAGATTGCCATCCCCATTTTACAGGTAAGGAAACTGAGGCTCAGAGGGGGTAAGTAACTTGTTGAAGGCCATTCAGCTAGGAAAGTGGCCAAGCTTCGATTTGAGTCCAGGTCTCCATAATCCCAGAGCCAACCTCTTAAGCCCCACACTATACTCCAGTGTTTAAAGAAGATGTGTGCAAGGAATGGTCATAGGGGGAGAGGCTGGAAGAGAGGCCCACAAGAGCTGCTGTCATGGTCCAGGTGAGAGCGGGGTGTCTGAGGAGGACTGTGGCAGAGGGACTGGAGAGGATAGACAGGCAACAGCAGCTCTTTGCAGAAAGAGTGATAAGCAAGGAAAAGGAAAGAAAGCAAAAAAAGAGAAGAGAAAGGAAAAGGAAAGGAAACTGAAATGGGAAAAGAGAAGGAAGAAGGAGGGGAGAGAATGCATGGCGAGGACCTGGTACCTGGTCATAGTGGGGCTATAAGAAAAAGTCAAACCCAAACTCTGACCCCCCGGCCTAGCTGGTTGGAGGGAGCCCTTCCTGCCCTGCTCTCTTCCTCAGCCTTTCTGTCTACACTGGTGACCCTCAGCAGCTTTGGGCTGCAGAGTCCTGCCCCTGGGATAGCAGGGCTGGGCTGGAAGTCCGCCGCACACTGCGATGCTGTTCAGGAAGGAGCCGAGGATGTAGTTTCTGCCCCCTCACTTGACCCTGCCCTCTGGAAAGTGTCCGGGGTGGCCTCTGTGAGTGTCCTGGAGTGAAGGATGAGCACAGACTCACCAGATGGAAGAGGCGTGAGTTGGGGAGTGGGGGCGGGTGCTCCATGGCCATGGGGGGTGGCGGGTAGCGGATCTGGGACCAGTCCTCAAAGCCGTGGTGTGGCATCCTGGCTGGTATGGGCGGGTAGGCGTAGGGGTAGGCCCCGCAGAGGTGCTCCGGGTGGGGCTCCACGTGGTAGCGTTCTGCCGAGGCCTGCAAGAAAGGCTGGTCTGGCTCTGGCCTGTGACAGGCTGCACCGGCTATCCCCAGTGACACCCATCTCATCTCCCATTCTCTATTTAGAATCTTAGTTCTCTGAAGGCTGGTACAGGGGCACAGGAGGTAGGCATGTAGGGACAGAATATCAACAGTGATGACAGCTAATGTGCCCTGAGCACTTACTCTGTACCAAGTGCCGTTCTAAGCGCCCTACCTGCATCACCTCATTTGTGAGATGGCCCCCTGAGCAAACACTGCCTCTCCCATCAGACTGCAGCTCCCTGAAGAAGGCAAGACAGGGTAAGTCCTGCTGCTTCTCCCAAACCTCCTCACCTTGGCTTTCCTCTTCTGCTGTTTGAGGGCTTCTTTCGCTTTTTCTTCATCTCTGAATGCTTTTAGCTGAGAGAAGGAGGGAGGGAGAGACGGCTGTTGGCTCAAGTGCTTCCTGGCCAGGCCTAAACCCAGGGCATAACCAGTCCCGAGGGTTGACTGGCTGATGCACACGGCTACCAGTCTGGGCTGTCCTGCCCGGCCCAGCCCCAGGGAAGGGCCCTGTGGGGCAGGCTGGGGGCTGCAGGTAAGGCCTGCTCATTGTGGGAGGTCTGAACACAGGTCAGGACGGTTCCCGTGAGCCTCACTGCTTCTGTGCTTCCATATTACCATCTTTTGGTTCCATTCTGTGAGACAGTGGGTGGCTCAGGACCAATTCCTAATTTGCTCTTTTAAGGCATCAAAACTAATTGTGGGAAATCAGAGCTAGAGGTCAGAGAGGGGAAGGGATTTGCTAAGGTACCAAGAAATTTGGTAGCAGAGCTGGCAGAACCAGTGAGTGTCCTGACATGCAGTCTTACCAGGGACCCTCCAACCCACGCCACCCCCACCATGCGGACAGGCCAACTGCCTCCTCACTGGCCCGGTTGACCTCACCTGCGCGTTTGACAGGGTGACCTGCGCCTGCAGTTTCTCCACCTTCTTCTTCAACTCTTCCTTCTCCTCATTCATACGCTCTCGATCGCTGCGCTCCCTCTGGAAGTCCTCCTCAAAGATCTTCACCTGGACGGGAGGGGCGGGTGAGGGAGGAGGGGCGGTTCTGAGCGGAGGCTTGGAACCCCGGGCCTGCCGCCGGGAGTCACAGACGTCAGAGCTGGTTTCGCCCCGTCTGGATAGTCACCGTGGGGAGGGGAATGGTGCACCTCAGCTCCCTACCCCCAGCTTCAAACAGAGGAGTTCTGGGTCCATCTATCTTACATTCTGGGCTTCAACATTCCTATTTGAACAAAGGATCTGTGGGGGAAAAAAGGTCAAAAGCCACCAGCCAGTCCAATCCTTTCATTCTGCTAAGGCCCACAGAGAGGCAGAGGCCACAGGCCCGGGGGGGGTGGAGACTGGAGTTCAGGTCTCCCGGCTCCACAACAGAGGACCCACAAAACTCTCCCAAGGCTTCGGGGTGCCCTGGCAGGGAAGGGGCTGGCCCTGCCTCTGTGCCTGCTGTTTCACATCCCGACTGCAGATCAGTGAGACACTGTCCTGGTTTGAGATGATTTAGGAGGATGAAAAGCATGGCATCAAAGAGAAACACATGGGAGAGCCAAATTCCCTTTCACTCCTTCTGTGTCTCTCAAGGCAAAAACAAAAAAATCTGTTTTATGCTAGTATGTCTTTAACACCTTTCTAGTACTTGTTAATTTCCCTTAAATGAGGGGAAAGGGAACTCAAGTTCAGAGTTTTCATCAGGCAAGAGTATCTGGCTACAGTTTAGTAACATTGGGTTTTTTGGGGGGTTTTTTTGTTTTTTTTTATACTGTATTTATTGCTTTCTCTTTATGGCAAATAATAAACATGTTTTTCCATTAGCAGTTATTCAAAGTTTCCTTTTAAATACATTTACTGAAATTAATTTATTTAAAATTTATTTTTAAAATACTGGGCACTGATAGCCCAGCTGGGGCATAGAGATGGCTAAATCATAAAGGTGGCAGAGGAATGACCTAGTTAGGGATACACTGTTGGAAAGGATAAACCTATAACCAGACAGGGGTCCTGGCCAATGGCCAGAAAGTGGACCACTAATTACAGCTCCCACTGAGCACCTCCGACCTGGCCTCCCGCCCCAGCCTCACCTGCTGTTTCAGCAATTCGTTCTGCGTGACCAGCTCCTGTTTCCTTAGGAGGCCCCCAGCTCCTTCTGGGCTCCCAAATGCAGCTGATGGAGATGAAGGGGAGGCCTGGATGCTCAGCGCTTCCTCCAGGGCCTGGGAATAGGAAGAGAGGAGGCAGGCCTGTCAGCAGAAGCCCCTGGAAGTCAGGCCCCATTGAAGGGGTCATCCTCAGTGACCCCCTTCCTGATAATAATGATAATAATAACCACCACCGAGTACTGTTTAATAAATGCTACCCTATTTATTAACACTCAATACACATCATTTCACCGAAACTTCTTTATAGTCCTATGAAGAAAAGACTATGATCATCACCCCCATTTTACAGATGTGAAAACTGAGGTTTAGAGACCTCAAGTGATTTGTCCCAAGTCACAAAGCTAGTAAGTGGCAAACCAGGGACTCAAACCTAGCATGCATTCTTAACCAGTAGCCTAAACTGGGGTCCTCATGTAGAAGGGAGAATCTCCCCTTTCCTGAGCAGGTGTGGCTCAATTCTTAGCACCCAGACCCAGAAAGAATATTAAGTCCTTTGGAGTAAGCTTCAGTCTCCTCGACAACTGCCCTGCCCAGAGATTCTACAGCTTCTGTTGGATTCTTCAGTTTTAGCAACCCATTCCCACCAAGCCAATCCTTCCATCCTCAGCTCTTCCGTAGTTAGATCAAACTGGACTTGAATTTCCCTGAAAATGGGCTGAAACATCACCAAATAACATTTGGAAAAGAAAACAAAAACACCCTACCATTCTACCATGCTCACAAAATACTTGCCTTTGTGTAAACAGTGTGCTCACATCTTCCTAAAAGGTTTCCATTAACTGGTTTTCTCCTTCCACCCTGTTAACATGTTACTTGAGACGTTTGGAACACTCTCAAGACTGGCCACCCTGCATCACCGCCTGGACTTCAGCCCCCTGGACAGCAGGGCCTCTGCTCCCATGCGTCAGCGCTGCCCACAGGGCCTCCCCGGACCATGGGGAGATAAAGGAGACCTTTCTCAACTTGGTCCCTGGGCCTCCGCTTGGTCTCCTCGTCTCCCCCAGAAACATGAGGACACCACTAAGCCAAGAGTAAATTCAGGTTGCTGCAAGGGGAGGTTATGACTCCACTTCATCCTCCTACTCCATCCGCCCCATTTTTTTAGGTGAGAAGACTGAGGTCCAGGAACAGCGAGAGCCTTGCATCAGTCATCCACACCAGTGTCTCTGTCCCCGGCTATGCCACGGAAACCTGGAGGGCAGTGATCCTGCCTGGTCATCTCTACGACCAGTACCATGTACAATATTCTGCCTGGATTTACACCCTTCAACCCCCCAGCTTGGGACCGTCATTCTTTTCTCTGAGAATAGGTCCCAAGGGCCCCAGCCTTGGCATGATCAATGCTTATCCAACACCAAAACCAAACACTGGGCCAGTGAATACAGAAACAGGAGCAGAGTGAGGGCACAGAAGGGAAGACAGACAGACAGGATGGAGGAAAGGCTGAGTCACAGACTCCTCAGCTCCTCCAGGCCTCCGGGAAACGCTTCATTTCAAAGCTCCCTCGTGTCAGCTCGCTCCTTTAAACCCCGCCCTGGAAGGCAGGCAGGGCTAGACTGATTCCAGTCAGGGTTCAGACAGCAAAACTGAGGCCCAGAGAGGTTACAGCAGCTAAGCAGGGATGAGAACCAGCCCCCAGCCCCGCCCTGGCCCACTGCAGAGGGTTTCTGCTCCAGCCAGCCTCCACCCCAGGCACCCCGTCTCCCTGGACCCCACTTCTCAAGGGCGGGAGCCCTTGGGCCTGTGCTTACTCCCTTCAGCGAGTATTTCCTGAACACGTGCTTGGTGCCAGGCACTTGCCAGGCACTGGGGGTATAGCACTTGCCAGGCACTGGGGGTATATGCCCTGGTGAAGATGCACACCTCCCCCCACTGGAGGGGAAGACAGATCGTTCAATAAGTCATCACAAGAAAATGCGGGAAGGGTATAAAAGAAGTTGCTGGTGCTTTGGACGCATAGAAAAGGGTGACCTGAAGGAGACTCAGGGAAGGCCTCGCTGGGAAAGTGATGTTGAAGCTAAACCTCAATAGTGAGAGGAAACAGCACGTCCAAGGGCTGAGCAAGGGCTCCTCTCAGGCCTGGCCGCTCACCACGCGGGGAGGAAAAGGCAGAGGAGGCGGGAACCACGAGGCTGCAGTGAGGCCCTCAGAGCCAGCGGCTTGATCCAGGAGTCCCCATCCTGAGCTGAGGGTGGGGGGCACCGACGATGGGGTGGGCATTGCAGCTGGGCTCAGGGAAGCCCTGCCTGCCCCATGGACCAGGGCCAAGGTGCCCACCTTTTTTTTTTGAGGAAGACTGGCCCTGAGCTAACATCTGTTGCCAATCTTCCTCCTTTTTTCCTTTTTCTTTTCCTCTCCAAAGCCCCAGCAGATAATTGTACATCATAGTTGTATATCCTTTTAGTTACTCTATGTGGGTTGCCACCTCAGCATGGCTTGATGAGCAGTGCGAAGGTCTGTGCCAGCATCCCAACCGGAGAACCGTGGAGCATGCTAACTTAACCACTACACCACCGGGCCGGCCCCAGGCACCCACCTTGTTGAGCCGCTGGATCTCCTTTTCCTGATACTCCCGCTGCCGGGTGAGCGGGCTCAGCTGATCCTGCAGGAACTTGACCTTCTGGCGCAGCTCTTTGGCCTCTGCTGTCAGCTGCTCCTTGTCGGCCTGCAGGGAACACAGGGTTGGTGAGCAGGGAGCCCCTCCAGGAGGCTCAGACTCCCTGCACTGCCTGCCCCCCTCACTCAGCCATGCCTCCTCTCACTGTCACTCAGCAGGCCCTACAATGCTCACACGCAAGGCACCGTGCAGGGCACCTGGGCTGAGAGCACTAACGCCCATACCGTCCTGTCCTCCTGGAAGAGGTGGTCCAGTTGAGTGAAAGTCCCTGGGTTCTGACACCAGCTCCTCCATCAAGTCCTAGCCCCTTTATACGACAGGAAGGGAATATCCAGAGAGGGGAGGTGACTTCCCCAAGGCCACACAGTGAGCTGGGGCTAGAACCCAGGTCTCCTAATTCTGGTGCTCTCTCTCCTCTTGCAGGTCAAAGGAAGTGTTTAAAATAGGGGAGGGCAGCCAGATTGCCAAGGGTAGCCTTGCTCAGGACTTGTTCTGGACTCCCCACTTAAGAGGCTCCATGATGGCCTCTGTCGCCACGTATCTTCATCTGCAGGGCCACCCTTTGTCTCGAAATGTCCCGCCTCTGCCCCAGCTGATAGGGAGGAGCTGCTGGATTCCAGGGACTTGTCTCACCTACTGATGTGAGCCAGGGGAAGGGACCAAAGAGCCAGCGGGCTGGCTGCGAGTCACAGGTGTGACTGCACTCAAGAGAAAAGACCGGCGGTGTCCTTCCTAACACTTCAAGGTAAGGGGCAGCCACCGAGACAGGCTGACCACTCAGATAAGGCCCCTGGGTGTCACATGCTGACGGGAGGGAACTCTGAAATGCAACCTGTGTTGAAAATGTCCATTTTTAAGTTCGGCAAAAGTAGCCCATATCCAGTTCCCATTAAGGGGAAGATATTGCGACATAAATAAAACGTCCCGAGAGTCTGGGCGTCAAATGGCCTTTCCTCTTTAAGCTGCAACAGGCCACCAGCCTCGGCTGGAATCAGTCACACACATGACAGATCAGATGCTACTCTCCAGGGGATCTGTTCCTGGATCCCCCAGGCTGAAGTGGGTCCCCCTTTATGCCCTCTCCTTGATCCCTGTCACCTTCTGTGTAGCACCTCTACACACACTTCTGCTTATTTGCTTCTGTAGTTAGTTGTTTGGTGTCTCTTCTCCCTCACGGGTGGGACCGGACTGTTCACCGCTGAGTCTCTGCCCAGCATGGTGGCAAGTACATGATCTGCTGAACGATGACTAAAGAACGAATAAAGGAAGCTCTGTCTAATCTGTGAGCCCCTCCCGCACAAACAGCCATCACTACTGTAAACATTCAGCAGCACCCCCCCCATCAAGGGTAAACGAGCAGGCCTGCCCGTATCTCTTTTATATTCTGTGCTTCTCTGTACAGTTCCCTAGTCTAATAAGATTTTAATTGAACAAAAAGCTCTTCTGTATGAAAACAAGAAAAAATGAAAAGCAATAGCTAATCCAGTCTCCTCAATTTTCAGATGGGAAACAGACACAGGGAAGGAAAGTGCTTTTCCCTACAGCCACACGGCCCTTTAGCATGAGAGCCAGAGCTGGAAGCCCCAGGGCTCCCGACTCCCGCCCGCACGCCAGTGGTTTATTTACTCCACTGAGCTCCCGCCTAACGAGGAGGGGAGAGCAGGCCTCCCAAGCTGAACCTGCAGGGACCAGCAGCCACACTTGCCTCCTCCATTTCAATCTTGGACTTGGCCAGGAGGAGCTTGCGGTCAAAGTCGCGCTGCTTCTGCTCACGCTCAGCCTCCAGGTCAGTCACCTGCTTCTGCAGGTCCGCCAGCTTCTGGCGCAGCTCGGTGATCTGGGTTCAGAGGCAGAGAGAGAGAGTGCGTGAGGGCAGGGGTGAATGTCCACGGTGCAGAGCTGCTGGGAAGGAAGCCGCCAGCAGGAGACTGGGGATATCCTGAGAGCAGAGACAAGAACCAGGGTTCAGCCTTGCGCTCCCACAACCCCTACGTTACCTTCTGCTCGTACTGCTGCTTCATGGAGCGGAAATGCTGGTCCCACTGCTTGTTCACTTCGAGCAGCTGTGGGGAGAGACTGGGGTTAGCAGGAGATAAGCAGAGAAGGAACAAAGAGAGTCAACCCCATGCAGACCAGCTTCCCAGGGTGCGTGCAGTGTGTGTGAATGGGGGCTGCAGATACCACCTCAATCCCTCTTCTCAAAAACTCAATGTTCCTCAAAGCAATTCACCTTCACCAATTGCCATATCGTATCCTTGCCAGGAAAGCAAGACCAACACCAAGACACAGAAACAGTATACACTTGTGGCGTACAATTATGGAACACACATCTCTTTAGAGGGCAATTCGGGACTATGTACTAAAACTTCAAGTTTGCATTTTCTTGAAGCTGATAATTCCACTCTGAAAATGTAACCAAAAGAAATGCTTGCACAAGTGTGCAAATATATATGTATAGGACCGACCATCTTGGCAATGTCTGTATTACAAAACAATTTGTAATACAGTGGAGAACCTCAGCACAGGAGCCGGGTTAAGGGAATTGAGGTACAAACAGAAAATGGAGCACCGTGTAGCTATTAAGAAAATCAGGCCTCTAATGCATTGCCTTGTTTCTAAGATTACACTATTTGCCATACTCTTATAACAATCCTACATCATTAAATAAATAAAATAATCGGAAAGGGTAACCCAATTTCAGAAACATTAATATATGATAAAAAGTGCTCAGAATTGAAGGAATATAGTATATGTTTTATATATAAATGAATACCCTCAAAGATATGGTTACTTGTAAGGAAAAAAAGAAAATAGTAATCTGTAATGCAGCATGTATGATATAATTTTTTCTGCTTGTTTTTAAAAACAGATTATACATTAATAAGTACATAGAAAAAACTGAGGAATATGCAATGAACTGTTATCACCTGTGCTCATCTCTAGGAGATGAGACTCTCTATCTTTTTATAATGAGCATTACATTACTTTTGTAATCAGAAAAAATACCTTACAGCAAAACAAAAAGGAAACTACAATGAATATGCACGTAAACAAAAGACTAATGGAGGCCTGACTTTCACATGTGCTGGGGGACCAGGGAGGGCAGAAAGGCCCAGGGATCTGGAGAAGGATCTGAGTTGAGTGAAGAGGAGGGGCTAAGAGAACAGATGGGAACTGGCTTCCACCTCCGCTCTGGAAATTCTGGCCTGGGGGTGGGAGATGGAGGAACATGTATGAGACACAGGGAATGGCCTCAACTACTGGCCACTTTCAGCCAGTTAGAAGCAGTGCTAGAAGAAGGTGCCGGATGCTCTCCTCTCAGTCCCTCCCTGAACCAGCTGTGTGGGGACAGGTGAATCCCAGGCCCCCCATTCCTGATGCTGAAACTTGTCTACCTTATCACAACCTTTTTCCACCACCCCGGGTTTCCCATGGAGCTTTCCTAAACTACGCCCCACCAACAATTCCAGGCCGTACCCCAAATGCCACCTCCTCAGAGTGACCCCTGTGGGCAGGGGGACTGATCAAGAAACAAGAGCCCAGGAGAAGGCAGCAGGAGGTCTCCCATGGGCAGATGGCTCAGTGGTCACCATGGCAACTCACCAGGGGGGCAGGGAGGGCCTTTGTCTCACCGGTCCCAGTGGGGAAGAGGGGTCTTCCCTGACCACCACCGCCCTCTCCAGCCACCTACCTCAGTGCGCTGCTGCTCTAGCATCTTCACCTTCTTCTCAGCTGCACCCAAGGCCCCCATCTCTGGGGTCTTACTTGCTGTCACACTAGCCTGGGGAGAAACAGAGGGGCCTTCAGCAAAGCCTCAAATAACAATTCTCTCACCCACTCTGTGCTCCCCCAAGGCCCCTCAGCCCTGAGACCCAGCCCTCTGTCTCCCACCTCTCTACCCTCCCACCTACGAGGACACCACTACACACCCAGCCATGATTAAGCCCCCTTCAGGAAGTCCATCTAGATTATTATTCCCCCTCCCCGCCCCACGGTGGCTGCCAGCCCCTCCCCCCGCCACTCCCCTCCCCTCCCCATGGCCACTTCTTTCCCTGCTCAGGTTGTATCTCTAAGGCACTGCCCACTACCCTCCCCTCCCCACACACATCAGCCAAAAATCCTCTGACCTGAAAGGCAAGAGTTACATATTTTTAACATTTTATAAAATGTTTATTTAAAAAATGTTTTTATAAAGATACAGAAATAAAGATGTACATGTATGCGCGATTAGTACACAGACATGTATTTCCTAGCTCTGTCCTCTGAGAGCGCCCAGAGCAGTGAGACTCCAGGAGCAATGAGCACACCTAGCGCCCAGACCCTGGCTTCTAAAAGCCATTCTCCAACAAAAAGACACAGGGCTCCTCGGAGAAGTGGTCAGTTCCAGGGCTGGGGCAAGGAAAATATAAGGTGAGTTTGGAGCGTCTATGGTGCCAGGAAGTAAGGAAGTGCTCAATAATAAGAAGAGAAGAAGAAGGGCATAAATGGGCACAGGAGACAACTTGAAAGAGCTTCCTACGGCAAAAGCTGGAACAATCTGAACAAGAAAATAAATCATGATAGTACTGGATTACAACCCAAAGAATAAAATAAATATCCTTGAGTCTATAATGGCAGAAAGAAATAGTTGAAAAATAAATGGGGAAGAAGGGACAACTCTTCCTTACAGAAGAATTCTAGTTAGTGAATGTACAAGGAATGAGGGAAACACAAAATCACCACTAGAACTACGTAATAATGACTGCAGGTGGGTCCACCAATGCATACTAAAATTAGCGAGCAGAAGTTTAAGAAGAAACAGCACTTTTGCACAGTCTCAAATTTTCTCCTCAAAAATAAATATTTATTAATTACAAAGGGAAAATTAGTCACTTCATGTGGAGAAACCTGACATAATCCCCTTAACCAAGTGATCAAGGTTGACAGTAATAAGACGCTGACATCACGGGCCTGTGACATGATGCACTGAGCACAGCGCAATGTCACTGCTGTGGGGGTCTGGCCTAAATCCATAACCTCAATCTAATCATGAGAAAACATCAGATAAATCCAAATTGAGGGACATTCTACAAAGTAACTGGCCAGTATAACTCAAGACTTATCAAGCTCATGCAAGACGAGGAACGCCTGGGGACTGTCACAGACCAGAGGAGACTACAGAGACGGGACAACTGAATGCAGCGTGGGCTCCCGGATTCGAGCCTGGTGCAGATGAAGGACATGAGTGAAAACCTGGTGAAGCCTGAACACAGCCTGCGGTTGAGCTGACGGTGCTATTCACTTCCTGGGTTTCATCACCGAACCGTGGTTATGTGAGACGTTAAGCGGGTAGGAGATATGGGAACTCCCTGGACTATTTATGCAACTCTTGTGTAAGTCTAAAGTTATCTCAAAATAAAAAGTTTTAATTTTTTCTTCAAAAAATAGGAAGTGTTGAGTTGAAACAGCAGAACAAAGCTAGGAGTCCAGAATTTGAGCCCAGGCTCCATCTCCAAGGCCCTGCATGATGTAGGCCAAGACCCACACCCTCTCTGGGGCTCTGTAGAAGGAGATCAAACAGGATGGGCTCTGAAGGCCCATCTGATACCCAATCTCAGATACCCTGGGGGTCTGTCAGCATTTGTCCTGGGGTCACTGCCCACATTCTGTTTCCCTCCTTCTGGTCCCCGCCACACTCCCCTGTGGCTTTGGGTGGGGCCTAAGGGCAGAAATTGTGAGACTCAACTGCCCCCTACAGGCTAAGGTCTGTAAGCACACCACAAGAACCAGGGAGTGAGGGGAGCGGGCTGGGGGAGCCCTCCAGGGACCCCTGCCTCCTTTAAGAAAGGCAGGAGATAGGCTTGTGCCTAGAAGCCTGCTGCCTCCTGGAGGAAAGCTGTACTTAACATTTTGGGGGAAGGAGGAAGACGGGGTGCTGGGCTCCTGAGACGTGTACTCTTAACCTCCACAAAGAAGAGAGGAGTCAGCTGACTGGGCTGCTGGGCACCAAATCTGCCATTAAAAGCAATAGCTAATGTTCACGGTTTACCACGTGCCAGGTGCTAAACGTACTTCACAGGCATCACATTGTGAATCCTTCAATCACCCTTTCAGGTAGGAATTATTATCTCCATTTTACAGAGGAGGAAACTGAATCTAGACAATTTATGTAACTTGTCCAAGGTGGCAGCCTCCTCCAGGAGCTTCCTCCCTGGCAGGGCAGTAAGAGCATCTGGGCTTTCGTGCAGTCAAGTGAGATGAGTTGATATTAAAGGGCTTTAGAAAAGTGAAGAGGCCTGCCCACAGAATTCAGAGACCCCAGGGGAGATAAGGAAAGTCCACAGGTCACATCCACCAGAGGGCAGACAAGGCAGGCTCAGACTTGAGGGGTAAAAAGAAGAGAGGGGCTTCATGGGCTAGCATGCAGAAGGCCATTTATCAGCATGTGTCTCTGCCACACCATTCCAGGTGAGACAGGAATCTTGATTACGTGATGTCACATGACCTCTCCAAACCTCCTGCCATAGCTGTCTCATGGTTAATAGTCCCGGCCCTGCCCACCTTACGTGTAGAGAGAGGAGGTCCAAATAAGATAATGGGTTTGCAAGTCCTGGGCAAACTCTACATTGCCACATAGTAATAAGAAATTAAGCTATTAGGATAATTACTACTATTACATAGGTGTGGGGATTGTTAAAGATGCTGAGTCCTGCTGTGCACCCATTAAACCCCATTAAAGAAGAAAAATGCGTCAGTTAAAAAGCTGGGACTCAGCTCTGCAGCCAGGGGAAAGGCACAGGCCGGGCAAGGGAGGAAAGCCAGCTCCTGCTTGGAAGTGGATGTGAGAGGGGCTGGGAGCAGCGGTGGGAGGGGGCAAGAGGGCCAGCCCCGTGGCATGACCAGGCCAGGCCGACGTCGGCCGGTGCCCTCCTCTCTCCATGTCAGAGGCTCCAGGGTGCAATCACAGGAGCTTAGCAGAGTCCTCTGAGGGGCTTTCTCCACCTAACACCCTAATTCTGCCAGGAATACCTGAGATGCTAAACTGACTTTCGGGAGCCACCCTGTAAGAGAGACTTTGACAAACTGGAATGTGTTTAGGGAATGTGCCCACACTGAGCAAAGGACTGGACTCCACCTGCTATGAGCAACGGCCGAAGGAACTGGAGTTATTCAGCCTGGAGAAGAGAAGGCTTGTGGGGCCACGAAGCCACGGTCATGGCCTGCAGCCTGAGCGTGTGTCCCAGGGAATGAAATGCCCCGTGTGGCTGAAGGCGGAATAAAGACTGAGGAGTGGAAGCTCCAGAGAGGCAGATGTCAGGCCAAGCTAAGGAAAGGCATCTGACAACTAGAATCTTCTACCAGTGGAACTGGCTGCAGCAGGAGGTACTGAGCTCACTGCCACTGAAGGTGGCATCAGACGCTGGGGAATCGAGGATGCTGTGGAAGGAGTTTCTGACCACGTACCTGCTGCTGTCCGGCCACCCCCTTCTTGCCTGCGCCTTCCATCTTTGGCGAGCCTGGCCGCCCGGAGGCACTCTCTTTGCTGCTGCTCATCAACAACTTCTTGAGCTCCATGTTTTCCTCCCTGTGTTGGAGGTAAGCAGAGAGGTCACATTGCTGGCCCTGGGTTACGGAGGCTGGGGGCCTCTGACCTACCACTCACCTGAGTTGCAGCTGAGTCCTGGGAAGTAAGGCAAGACCCTAAAACCTGCCCTCGGGTAGAACCAAAAAGGATATCCTTAAGCCACTTTGCTGGCAATCCATGGGCTTACCTAGAAGTCTCTAGGAAAGAGACTCTAGAGCCCTAGAAGGGTTTCCCCAACTGTGGATGTCTGTATACATGAGGCCTTCAGGATGTATCCACACTGCACTAAACAGCCCTGGATCACACCCTGGCGAGAAAGCTACACCTTTTCCAATGATCTTCAAACTTCCTGTGTAGAGCATGGGGAAAGCCTCAGTGTGCTGCTAACAGGTCTTGAGCACCTCTCTAGTACTTACTAGCCTCCTTTGTTAACAGAGAAAGAGCAGGCTTCAGGCCCACATCCTTCAGTGGGCAATGGTAGTTAGCCAGAATTTATGAACATCCTTCCATTTTCATTGTATTTATTGTTGGAGTTATCTTCTATTTATTACACTAATGCTGTTTTCCATTTACTGTAGTGAAAGTTTTCTTTATAATAATTTTAAGTAAAAACATGATTCAAATTAAAGTAAACTCTTAAGTAAATAATAAGGTAGGTGATACAGGACATAATAAAAGTGGTGATGTGAGGGGCCGGCCCAGTGGCATAGTGGTTTAAGTTCACGCGTAGTGGTTTAAGTTTGCGCACTCCACTTCGGCAGCCCAGGGTTTGCAGGTTTGGATCCTGGGCAGGGACCTTTGCACCACTCATCAAGCCATGCTGCGCTGGCATCCCACATAAAAAATAGAGGAAGATGGGCACAGATGTTAGCTCAGGGCCAATCTTCCTCACACACACACACACACACACACACACACACACACACAAAAGTGGTGATGTGGATTCAGGTATGACTGGAACATGTCAAATATTTCTCTATGTTCTATTTGCAAGCTGAGTTCCCACGTAATAATAGAAAAACAGAAAGAAGGTGGCTTTCCCAAGGTCACAGAGCAGGGACTTGCACTACTGCCTTCTAATTAAGAGTCTTTCCTCCAGCCTGAGTTTTGGGATCCATGGATGGAGTCATTATGGCTACAAAACCCCAAAACTTTTGGCCATCCAAAAGTAAATAAATATATGCTGATTCAAAATGGCACAGTGGCCCAGTAGTTACACATTTATATTCCCTCTCTTCCTGTTGAGTCTAATAAGGAACAGGAAGGGAGAAACGGAGTGGCAAGTCCTGGCTATAACAAAGACCTCTCTTCCACATACCTGAGCCCAGGTGGTACCCAGCAGATGATTCATCACCCAATTCTCCAGGACCACAGTGCAGGCAGGAATTACGGCCACTCTAGTGAATGGGGAGCAAGGAGGCCCAGGTTCTCACTGTGAGACCCGAAGCGAGTCTCTGCCTCTCTCAAGGCCTCAGTCTCCCTCTGCACAATGAGGGGATTGGCCCGCACGCTCTCAAAGGGCCCTTCCAGCTCTGAGAGTCTAAGAGTCAAGATCAGTGGTTCTCAAGTGTGATCCTGGGCCACCACATCATAATCACAGGGGCCTTTGGGAAAATGCAGATGCCTCTGCATTTCCTGGGTCTCGCCTCAGACCCACTGAATCAGAATCTCGGCAGAGGAAGGAGGGGTGGGAGTGTGAACTTGTAATGCCTTCGACCTCAGCGATCCTGCACAATTAAGTCCAAGACCCACTAGCCCAGATGAGGAACCTCGACTATTCTCAGGAAACAGAGCAGGAGGGTGACCAGCAGGGGGCAGCAAAGTCCTGAGCCCTCTCTCTAACACCAGTGAGCCGCTGTTAACAGGTCAACGGGGCAAGTTCCCAAGGAAGGAGTGCAGTTTGTACAGATCCCTTCTGAAGATCTGAAGGCACTAAGAACAGACACTCCCCAAGGTATTAAAAGGGCCAGAGAGGAAATACCAAGGTACCTACAGAGAAGGACCCAATGCAAGGCTCTGGGCACAGGCCTCAGAGCCCTCAGCCCTCATTCCAGAGATCAGCACCACACTCACCCCCGCCTCCTGCCCACCCCGACTCCCAACCCCTTCTCTGAGGAGCTGCACTCACCGCAGCCTCTCAGCAGCCTGGTCCCGCTGCTCCAGGCCCTTGTCCAGCTTGGCCTTCAGGGCCTCATTCTCCTTCCGAAGCTGCTCACACAGGGTCTGCAGGGCAGAGAGGTGCATGGGGACAAGGGAAGGGAAGGGGTGCACCCCAAATGCAGGCTGATGTTGGAGGACAGGGGAGGGGCCACAGCCATGCCACATCCCAATACTTTACCCCCTTTGCCCGGCCTCACCCAGTCCCTCTCAGGACGGCTGGGAGCCAAGCCACTAGGCCCACCCAGGCTCCTCTACGCCTCTTCTCCCTCAGGAGCCAGCCGTGAGGACGCCTGACCAAGAATCAGCCACAGGGCCTTCTGGTCCTCCAAGGCAGAGAGCTCCATCCCTCCTCCTCCTCCTCTGCTGTTCCACAGCCTAGAACGCTCTTCCCCACCAGCCTTCCCCTGACTCACTTCTACTCCTGCTTCAAGTCTTAGCCTAAATGTCACCTCCTCAGAGAAGTCCTCCCTGACTTCCACATTTCAGGTGAGTTAGGTCACCTCCATTATCCTTCTTCACGGCCCCCTGCTCTCACCCTTCTTGCTTGTAACAATTAGAACTAAAGAACTGTTTGTATCATTGTTCTTAATGTCCATCCCCCAGCCCCCTCACTCGTCTCTCATCCACTGCCAGACCCCCAGCCCCAGCTCAGGACCTAGCACAGGTCGACACTTAACTCCATTGAAGGAACCCACGACTGAATGACTAAATGGCCAAATGAATGAATGAACAAGTGAAGAAGTGAGTCCCAGGAGCCTACGAGCTCAGTCGATTTGGAGAGTATGCGAGGCTTCCCATCTTGTCAAATGGCAAGCTGGAAGCCAGGGCATCCTCAAGCTCTCACCAATTCCTCAGTGTGGCTCAGGCTTCCTCCACCTCGGAGACTCAGTTCCCTCCTCTACAGAATGGGGACAACTGTGCCTCCTCTACAGGGCTGCTGGGAGGACAAACAGGACCATGGAGGTGCCAGCGCCGTGTGAACTGCCAGTCACCTGACAACATGTGAGGACGTGTGTTGGAAGTGCTGCGAGGTGGGGGCATGCAGATGGACGGCCAGACTCAGGGCCTCACAGACGGGGAGGGGAGGGAGGTGCTGACTGGTAATGTGGAGGCACCGTGTCAGTACTGAGCTACTCAGTCTTTCAGCAAACACTTAGTGAGCACCCAGCACGTGCCACGTACGTGCTGGGTGCTCCTCCACTCACTGCCTCAGAGCCTCACAGCTTCCCCAAAGCTATGTAATTCGTCTCTATTTTAAAGGTAGGCTAATACAGGTGAAGTAATTTGCATGAGGTTGCACAGCTGTTAAGAATCACCACTGGGATTAAACTCCAACTGGCAGACCCTAAACCAGCGTCTCTTTCCCCTGTGATGAAAAAGCAGAGAAGGAGGCAGCAGCCTGTGAGCTGGGCTGGGGGCAGAGACAGTGGAATTCACCCGACATTCCACCCGCTCCCTTCCATTTCCATTTCCCAGGCTCGCTGTGATCATGTGACTAGTTCTGGCCAATGAAAGATGAGCATAGGTGACAAGTGTCACTCTGGGCTGGCCTATGCACAATTCTCTGGTCTCTTTTTTCCCTGTGGCTATTGTGGCCTCATATTCCAAAGGGCATGAGATGGTGGGGCCTCTAGGTAACTGCAGAGCAGAAACAAGCCCCCGCCACACAGAATATGAGGGAAAACTTTTATGTTATCCACGGAGATTTCAGAGTTGTTTGTTTCCACAGCAAGACCTAGCCCTTTCTGACTAACACAGGAGAAATGGGCAAGCTGAATGGAGGCAACAGCCTGGAACTGGAGGGTGGTCGGACAGGAAGGATCCGAGGCCGAGAAAACAGAACACTATTCTGACCGGTTCCAATGCTCAGCAGAGGCCGTGTGCCATACCTGGCCTCAGAAATGTCTGCTGGGTGAACCAAGAAACAAATCAGTGAATGCACGCGGAGGAACTGGATTAATCTGCCTCCACCCACAGGGTGGGTAAATACCCAGGATGCCATGGCCTCCAGAGAACAGAACGTCCTACTCCTGGCCACCACAAAAAGGCCAGGACGAGGCCTCATGTGCTGTCCACTCTTCCAGTCTAGAGGGCCGTTTCCTCAAGTCTCTGGGTCATGCCCTGGGCACAAAGCAGCTAACATACAGAAGTCGTCACAAAGGTCATCACCTTCCTTCAAAGGGGCTGACAGAGTCCACCTGTGACTTCACCTGTTCATTCATTTGTTCATTCCTTCACCAAATACGCATTAGGCACCTATTAAGTGCAGGCACTGGGATATGAGACACGTGTGCCCCTCTCGTGAGGCTCACATTCTAGCAAGGAGCACAAGGAAAACAAACACAAAGTAAATAAACCACCTCATAAAATAAAATTATTCTAAGCTGTGGTAACAGCTAAGAAGGAAACAAATAGGCACCTGATATAAAAAACAACAGCGGTTGGCAGGACCCCTTTTATGAGGCCGGGTATCAAATCCCATTTCAAAGCTGAAAAGCTGAGGCTTGACATGATCTTGCCCCATGCGATGCACCAGGTTCACCTCCCCAGAGCTCAGCTCTGCGCTGACATCTCCCTCAGCCCGGCCCCCCAGGCCCTCCCTGGAGGCTCTAGTCACTCCTCCAGCCTCGCCCCCCAACAGCCCCCTCACTTGGGGAGGGATGGGAGTCCTGTGCTCTCCCTGGTGTCCTCTGCTCCCACATCTCTCCTCACACCACGTCTCCAGCCTGGATGCCCCTCCTGCTCTTGTCAACCCAGGCCCTCCCCAAGGTCACACATGGTGGATTCCCCCTTCAACGGGGCACTTGAATGTTCGCTGACATGAATGAGCCCACAGACCAGTGACTGGCACAGAGGAGGGTCCGGGGGAAGGAAGGAGGCTTTGTTATCGCTGTCACTAAGGTGACAGGTGTTCAGGTGCTGAGCAGGTCCTCTCAGAGCCTCAGTTTCACTATCTGTGAAACCCCCAAGTCCTCAAGGCTAAGATCCCCTATCCAGGACAAATGACTGATCATCATAAGATCCTAACAGTGACCACTTTTCAAGCACTTACTATGTTCTAGACTGTACCAGGTGCTTCATTTAAAACTCATAGCAATCCCATGAGGGAGGCATTCTCAGCTCCAAGTTACTGACAGGGATAGTGAGGGACAGAGGATAACTGACTTTTCCAAGGTCACACAGCAATAAAGAGTCACTACTGAAACCCTACAAATAGCAGCTGGAAGATGAGAGGATGGCGCAAAAAGACCAGGCAGGGTTCCGCTCTGCCGACACAGAGCCACCAGGAGTCGGAATCATCTCGACGGCACTGACAACAAACTGGAACCAAGGACCATACGACTCCACGGCCTGGCCTAGGTAGGAAGGAAATGTGACCTCATTCCCATGGCCCAGAAACAGTTATGCAAGGAAGCCCCCCACATCAGGAGGCAGGCCGGGATGATGGTTAAGGGCATGGGCTTTGGAACATGACAGATTGAGGTTTGAATCCCAACTGCAACATCTACTAGCTGGGTGACCTTAGACGAAAAAAAAATCACTTCTCAAGGGCTGTGTCCCCATTTGTGAAGTGGGGATAATGAAGGTCCTACCTCAGGGGGCCGGTCTCTGCTCCCTCCCTTCCCCCTGCCTGGACATGAAAAACAGAGGCAGGGCTGCTGCCGCCTGCCCACCCCATATTTCCCAATTTCCTTCCTCTTCCTCGTCCCTTCCCACAACTTCCTTACCCAGCTCACTACCCTGAAGAAGCCCAAAGTCTGCCCCCAACATCACCCTTGGAAGTCCCCACGGGACCCCTGCGTTCCCAGGAAGAGCTGGAGGAAGCGGAGGGGAGCACCCCTGCCCATCCCAGTGCCCTCCCGCCGGCCTCACCTGCAGGATGGAGGTGCGCTGCTCGTTCTTGTGCACCTTGGAGGCCAGCCGGTTGAACTCGAGGGCCATGCGGCCCAGGTGGGTGAAGAGCTGGCCGTGGTCCGGCTCCTCGGCGCACACACTCAAGGTGGTTTCCAGGCGCTGCAGGTGCAGCATCAGGTTGGAGTCCTCGTGGGGCAGGGGGCCCAGCTCCTGGCGGGGGGAAGGGGACACAGACCGCTCTTCACCAGGGTCTGAGCAGACACGGCCAGCCATTCTCTCTCGGCTTCCCCATTCCTCATGACTCAGTTTCCCGCTGTGATCCCAACTCAGCCCAGGGAAATTCTGCAGTTACGCAGGTTCCCTGTCTGGAGCTGACTCACAGGGCAGGACTGGACTCCCAGGCCACCAGCTGGCTCACCAGCAGTGGAGCCACCTTCCTCCCACACTCTGGGCCTCACTGAGTGCTGTGGGTAAATCACTTGTCCTCTGGGCCTCAGAACCCTCATCTACTTAACGTATACACACCCCTGCCCTCCCTCTACCTCACAGGGCTCTTATGAGGGGGAACTGACATGTGGAAGCAGTACACCCAGGAGAGGGTATCACTCCATACATGGCTTCTTCAGCTCAGGGAGTCTTGACCAGGGAGCCACTCAGAGACCAAAACTGTCTGACTTTTATGTCTGTGTGTGTGTCTTCTGGGGAATGGTCCAAGTGTTCACCAACTTCTCAGAGGACCCAAGACTCAAAACAGGCTAAGAATCACAGCTCTAGATAGTTCAAAGAATCCCAGTCTAGTACAGTATATAAGAAATGAAGCATACTGTGGGAGGAGAGTCTAATCTTGATAATCACTCAATCTCTCCCTCTCTTTCTCCATCTCTCCTCTGTCTAGAACACTTATCAAAGACAGCACCCTGGTTATGCCAACACTGTGCCCAAGGCCCACAGGGGCACCTCACAGCTAACTGCATCAAGCCCAGCTCCCCTACCAGGCATCTGAGCCTCACCTGCCCTTGCTTGAGCCCCACGCACCAGGCCCCGTGCCACCTTGGGCTTCATTCCCACAGTGTTCCCTCTGCTCATCCTTCCCAGCCCTGCCTACACTTCAGCTCCTCTAGCAGGCCTCCCCTAACATCTGTGGGAGTCACAGGATGTCAGAGCTATGGGGTGCCTCAGGCTTCAGGCTGGGAAACCAAGCTATGGGGAGAAGGAACTTGCCCAAAGTTGCCCATTGAGGCAGTGGCAGAGCCAGGACTGGAACTTAGGCTTTCTGACTCTCGATCCAGTGCTCTGCCACATTGACCTCCCACGTCTCTGAACTCTGCAGCAGTGGAAATGCCCCACAGCCACAACCTGGCCTTCAGTGAATGCCCATGTAATAGTGTTAGCACCTTATTCTAACAAGAGATAACACTGCTTCTTCAATTCTGCACTCATTCCCCCACTGCCTCTTTCCACAAAGGATCTGAGGTGGCGAATGCTGCTTTGTTTAAGGCTCATGAATTGCTTCATCCCTCTGATTTCTCCAACGGGCCTACGAGCTCCCAGAGGGCAGGGAGGCTGTCTTGTCTTTGCTTAACACAGAATAGGCACATGGTGGGGAAAAGGAGGAACATATTAACAAAATGAAGTTACTGGTCCAAGATCATAAAGTGAAAGACTTTCTGAGCAGGGGGGGTCTTGCCTCCTTGGCCAGCTTCTTAGAACCCTCAGGGACCAGACCAGGCGACAGAAGTTCCCAGGAGACAAAACCCAGACCGTTTCTAATACTCAGAGCCGCCTGGTGTGGTGATGAGCCCCTCATCACTGAAAGCTTGCTAGTGTAACCTGGACAGCCACTTGATGGGGACCTTTCACTGGGAACTGACAGATACAAGACGCAATCAGTGAACCAAAGAGCCACATTTATCCCTCAAGCCTTGGTGGAATGAGCAGTGGAGACCAAGGTGTCAGTGAAGTAAGGTTCGACTACTTACTGCCTATCAAATAACAACCAAAAAATCTCAGTGAGGAGGGAGGGAGAATGTTCCAGACCTTTTGCAATGTTTCTCCAATAAGCCTGCCATGTTAAGAGAGAGTAGGACATAATTGGAATAAAGGCAGCAAGTAGGGTAAGGTATGGAATGAGGATGCTGGGTGGACACCCCAGAGCTGGAGAGAGGGAGAGAGAGAGGGAGGGAGAGAGATTGTGAGATTGTGTGATTGTGTGATTGTGTGTGTGTGTGTGTGTGTGAGAGAGAAAGGTTTAACCTCCTACACCTCCTACCTAGATGCCCTGGAGGGGAGCCTGGGAGGAACCAAGAGTCTGCACAGAAGGGTAAATCACCTGCCTCGGGCCGCTCTGGGCCTCTCTGGGCCTCTCTGACCCTCTCCACTCCCCCGGGGCTCAGAGCCCACAGCCCCAAGGGCTGAGTCACTGTGTGTGAGGTGCTCGGCGCTGGGAGAGACCAGGGGGCTGGCAACATGCCCAGGCTTTCACAATGGTCGGCTGCCTGTGCAGCCCAAGTCGGGGAAGTCACCAGACAGCGATTTGCATATGTGAGCGAGAAGCACCCCCTGGTCCGGTCCCTCATGTATCCTCAAGTGACTCCAGGGTGCCCAAGGGATCTGAGTGGGTCCAGTGCCTCTCACTCGGGGCTAGGTGAGTGAAACAGAGAGGAGACGTGGGACATGCCCAGGGACCTGCCGTCCACTCACCATCGTGTTTCTGGTGCGGCTCCCACTCTCTGGTGGAGAATTCTGCTCATCAGTGGGGACCACTTCAAATTCAGAGGAGGTGCCCTGTGCAGAAAGGAAGTTAGGGGCTGCCTGAGAGGAAAACACCTGGCCCCTCCTCTGGGGCCCCACGGCTGAGAGCAGCGAGGGGGCAGAGAATGGAAGGACCAAACCCCTTCTCACATCCAAGTCACCCGGGCAGCCCCTCCGTGCGGAGGCTGAGCTCACGGGGCAGTTACACTTCGCTTCATGTGAGACCACAAAGCAGGATTCTCAGTCTGCCTGCCACCCACTGTCCCTTTTGTGGCCAGTTTCCCCATCTGTAAAACAGATGTTGGGCATGTTGGACTAGCTGACCTTGAACTGCTAGCACATTAGTATTGTATTTTTCTTAAAGGCCTTGCACTTTTAAAAGGTTTTCACAAACTCCATTATTTCTCAAAGCAACACACGGAGTGGTCAGAGGGTTACGTCCCCTTTAGACAGAGGAGGAAACCAAGGGCATATCATTAGTTAATGCAAAAGTAGGGACTGCACCCAAGGACCCCAAATCCAACATTCCTGCTACAGCACCAGAGCTGTCTCCCAGGCCAGGTGTCACCAGCTGGTCACCTGGAGAACAGAGCAGTTGGTATGACCACCACCAAGATGCTCCTATGCCAGCCTTGCCAACTCAGTCCCAGAGGTCCCAGAGGAGTAGACTGATCTGGGATAAGTCCCAAAGATGCGTCAACAAATTTGGAGAGACTTCTTCAGGATTCACCCAAATCCAGGGTGGCCGAGGACGCCCAGACGTTTCACATCTCTCAGCCATCGCAAGTAGAACGTACCGGGTGTGCAACCAATGAATAGGCTGATGATCCCTTTGAACGAGCAAATGGCTCTGGGATTGCTATTAAACTGGGTCTACAAAGACTATTTCAGCCCTCCCTCGTCCCAGGAAAGGGCACACGGATGGGAGGATCTCTATGCTCAGTTTCTGCTGAGCCTCATGGCCACCAAGAACCCAGCTCTGGACCTCAGCCCTGCCTTGGAAATCCCTTTCACCTCTACATTTCCCTAATTATCTGCGTGACCTCGGAAAATGCTCTTCTCTCTCTGGACCTGAACTGTAGGATGAAGATGCTAAATGATATGATCACTTGGGTGCCTTCCAGTCTGAGGATACCAATCAAAACTTCTCAAGGCAAATCTCTAGAAGACAGTGTCTGTGCTCCGTCTGAGATGTGAGTTCCATGCCACACTCATCTGTTTTCCTAGCACTGGGCACAGTCAAGACATGCTCAACTTAGTAAACGCGAAGAATTCCCTGTGCACACCAGGGTCTTTCTGGTAAGTTTTAACTATGACCTTCATTTGAAAATGGGGAACTGAAGCCCCAGAGATGTTGCCATCGACTTGCCCAATATTCCCCAGCAAGTTAGAACTCAGGTTTCTTGACCCCAACCCTCTCTCTTCACGTTCTTGTATCTGCCCCCAGCACCTCGAAGTCCAGGCAACTTTCAGCGATGACTCCAAAGGCAACTTACACTGGATGGAGGTTTTTGGACCGGCTCTGGCTTGTCGCTGGGCTGTGCAGGGTCAGCGGGGGGTGTTGGGACATGTGCATCCTTTCCTGGAGAATTGAGAAAACATAGATGAGCAGCAGGGAAAGGGGAAAAGCCCAGATACCTCCCCCTCGGGGACAGCCCTGGCCAGAAGAGTTCTCCAGCAGAGTTCCCTACATGAGTCTGGGAAAACGGGAGGAGGTCCCACAGGGCCAGGTGGCCTGGGAAAATGACCGGCCATGGAATGATGGAGAGAGAACCTGGACAGAGACACCATCTTCCCTGGACTTGCTGGGAAAATCCCAAGGTGGCCACAGCTCTTTGCTACCCAGGACCTACCTCAATGACGACAAGGATGACAATTTACCATTAATAAAGTGTTTTTATATTTATTATCTCAGTCGATTCTCACGACAGTTCTGTATCCCCATTTTAAAGGTAAGGAAACTGAAGCATGGAAAGGTCACCAACTGGCCCACAGTCACAGAGCCAGCAACTTCAAAACCAGGACTCAAACTTGGCCCTCCCTCTACCAACTCCTGGGGCTCTTGCTGCAGGGAGCCCCTAGAGGGTCACTGCAGGTCTCACTCTGGGGGGTGGGACTGGCACCAATCTGGGACTCAGAAGACACTGCTGAATGGATAAGTGGAGCCTGGAAATGCCCACTGACTGCAGCACAGTGGACTCTGAGATTATCACTTTCCTTCTTTTGTCTATTCAGCAAATGCAACCACCAGCCAAATGGAAGGCTGGCACAGTGCCCTGGGCTGGGACCGTAAGGTGGGGCTGCAGCAGGAGGCATCCACGCCCCGTGTGTGGGGACCTCTTCCCCCCGGTCCAGACCTTGCCCTGGACTTGGAGACGTGCCAGAGGAATGCATGGTGACCACGCACAGGACTTTAACCCCTAGTCACAGTCAACGTTCTCCTTTAATAGGGAGCATATGTAACCTTACATCTGAAATACACTGCAGCAGGCAAGTCCAGATTCTTCCATGGGCCTCAGCTTCCCCAAATGTAAAGTGGAAGGAGAGGGGCCAAACCACAGAGCTTTTGATGCGTACACCAGCTCTGAGTGACCCGAAGTAGCTGCCTGGAGCCCTGTGCCTGGCACATAGAGGCTGCTCATTAAGTATCTGCTGAATAAATATGCTGATAAAGACCCTGAAGCCACCTCTCGGGTGCAGTGGGTAGCTGAGATCCATTACCAATGTCTGCCAGGGCCTCAGGAGTGCTGAGTCACCAGCCACTTTTGGACAAGACTATTTTGAAGTCCCTTTCAAACCTGACCTTCTGGGGGATGCTGCAGCCAAAACATGCCTGGGAGGATGGTCTGTGGTCTAAGGATAAATGAAGGAGAGGTGGATTTCTGAATAAGAAGGGAGGCCACCGTTAAGGGTTTGGAGTGCGGGGAAAGGCAGACGACAGGGGCCCCCGTACCTGTGAGCTCAGCCAGGTGGTCGAAGGAGGCCAAAGAGGGAGACGTTGGTGGGAGTGGCTCGCTGTCCTTGACCAACTCCTCTGCCTTCTGCCGCAGCCTGGACGCTTCCATCTGAGACTCTTCCAAAAGCTCCCCTGGGGAGACAGCGGGGAAAGGAGGAGCAAGAGGAATTGCTCAGCTTAGTGCGCTGCTTCTCCCGGCCCTGTGCCCCTAAGCCTGCTTCTGCCTGGCTCCTGCCGCGCCAGGCCCTGGGCTTCACTCCCACCATCGCCTTGCGGGCTGAGTGGGACACACATCATTCTAGCTTCCACCCAGAAACAGGCCGGATAAGGAAGTGGGCCCCGCGGTCAGGGAAGAAGGAGTATAGGGGAATCTAGAACAAACTCCTGGCCCCCAGCACCCTCTTCCTGCCCCACCCCCGCCACACCTGGCCGGGGACTCCACAGAAAGCCAGCGGCTCTCTTAGGCCTACCATCATGGCGCTGGGGGGGCTACTCACAGCCTACGCCCCCACAGTCGGGGGCTGCCTGAAGGGTGGAGACCCTCGATAGTACCAACCACCCCTGTGGGCCTCAGTTTTCCTTCTCCTACAAGTGGAGAAGGGGAAACTCTGCCCCTCCCTCCCCAGTCGGCCATCCCAAGCAGAGCTCTGCCAAGCAAGGAGAAAGCATTTGGTAAACTGGGAAGCTGTGCTCGCCCCCAAAGCCCAAGACCAGAGAAGGTGGAGCAAGGCAAAGGAAGAGTTTTAGGGGTTTGGAAGAAAGAGAGACCCCTCCGGATGGGGACATCAATGAATGCCTCGCACGGAGGAGGAGCTGGCATCTGATGACAGAGGGGGACGATTCGGTCACCTGGAGGTGAGTGGCCTTGCTCGAGGCAGTGGGACAGTTTGAGCAAAAGCCAGGAAAAGAGAAATCAGGGGACCTACTCCCGCCCTGCTTCAAGCCAAGCCCAGCTCCCTGCTCCAACACTTGGGGCCCTGCCCTGGCTGCCGCGGTGACGCCACTCTCCTCATGTCTGGTGCTTGTGGAGGACAAGGCCACTCTGTTTCCATGTCCACCACTGGGCCTTCCAGCTCCCTCTCCCCCATCCCACGCCTCCTTCTCAGCCCCTCCAGGTATTCTGAGTCCTGTCATCATGCTTCTGGGGTGCTGGGGAATTGGGGCCGGGAACGGGGCCACCGTGCTACAGAAGCGCATAAAGACACAGCTGTGGGGCAGGCACCAATGCGGGGCCAGGAAGGCCAGAGGGATGACGGGCAGAGGCACATGCCAGCTGGCACTGCAGGCTGCAGGGAGGAGGCCTGCGGGAGAGCACAGGGTCTGCTTTACCTAACATCTTTATCCCTTGCATTTTTTCCTTCAGTCGGGAATTCTCCTCCACTAGGCGCTCAAAAGCTGCCGACGCCTCTCCTGGAGGCATGCTGCCCCCAGGGTCGTAGATCCGGTATGGTCCTCTCCCTTCCATGAGGGTGGCTCAGCCCCTGCAGTGGTGCCCACCTGGCTGTAAGGACAACAGCAATATATCAGGGGGCTGGCCAGGCCATTGAGGCATCCTAGTCAATCAATGCCCCAGAAGGCAGTCCCCATAACCCAGAAGAGAACACAGCACTACAGGCTGGTCTGCCCACAGTACAGCAGAGCAGAACCGTCACCTTTGATCTGGACACTCTGCCTCTATTAACGCAACCTAAGAATGGCATCAGTTTCTTTTAGCAGCCTTACTGTACTGCTGGTTCATTCGGAACAGCAATCAACATATGAGGTGCAACATGGAGTACAGAAAGAGCACTGAACTTGGAGTCAAAAAATTTGAGTTCATATCCTGTTGATGGGGTCAGAGGGACAGGGACCCTGGACCACTGCACCCTCAGCACCCAGCACGGTACTAACTACAACGTGCATGCCCAATAAACACTTACTGAACGAATACAGGTTCTATCCATCAACTCACTGTGGGATCGCGGGCAGTCCCTTCCCCTGTCGGAGGAGGGGAAATGAAAGTCTTACGCTAAATCAGTGATCCTTAAAGTGAAATGCTTGTGCCCTAAGGGATAAGCAAGTCAATTCAATCCAAAGTTCCATTTATACGTACATTGTCTTTTTTAAAAGAAAGAAGAGGAGGAAAGAACCGTGACTAATATTTAATATACTAATTGACACTGTGGCCCTCCTCCTTCAGTCTCGTATCATGTATGGTCTGTCCTTTCCAGTTTTAACGAATAGAAGAATTTTCCATCAAACCACAATCTACTCGTGCCGCAGGTGTTCTGCATTAATCTGTTCAATTTCATCTGCTTTATTTCATTTGAAACCACTCTGCAAAGTGATTTCAGAATCCTAGTTCTGTGACTTAGTAGAGAGACTTCTTTCTTGCATTCATTCATTCATTCTTCCAATAATTATTTATTGGGCATCCACTGTGTGCTGGGGACCAGTCTGGGTGCTGGGAAATTATCATCAAACAAAACAGATACAAATCTCTCATGGCGCTTATAGATAGATAGGTAGATAAATACAGTATTAGGGGTGATGAAAACATCTAAGGTCAAAAATTAAGCAGGAGACCTTGAGGCCGAGACTTTCATTTTAAATGGAGCTGTCAGGAAAGGCCTCACAGAGGAGTTATTTTAGCAAAGACCTGAAGGAGATGAGGGAACTAGCCACACAGATATCTGAGGGAAGAATATTCCAGGCAGTGAGAACAGTAAGTGCAACAGCCCTGAGGCTGAAAAATCGATCCAGCCTCCAGCCCTACAAAGAGCTCACTAACACGAAAGAGCTCCAAAGGCCTCCACCGGGGGCCTCAGAAGGACTTGGGTTACCACCCCCAGGGCAAAAACTGTTTCAGTCAGGAATCCTCAAAGGCCCTTTGAGCACCCATACAGCGCACAGCGCTCGCTGAGAGAAAAGAGTGAAAAAGGACTAATAACAACGCCCACCATTCATTAATCATCTGCTTGCCAGGCACTGCATTCAACACTTCAGAAGCATCACCTCAGTTAGGCTGCACAACAACCCTCAGATACATACTCAAGTATCCTCGTTTGATAAGGGAGGCTCAGCGAGGTTACATAACTCAGCCAGGATTACAGCAGTTGCCCCTTATCCATAGTTTCGCTTTCCATGGTGTCAGTTACCCGAGGTCAACCACAGTTCAAAAATATTAAATGGAAAATTCCAAAAACAAACAACTCATGTATTTTAAATTGTGTGCCACTCTGAGCAGCATGATGAAATCTCACGCTGTCCACTCCATCCCACCTGGGACGTGAATCCTCCCTGTGTCCAGCACACCCGCGCTGCGTACGCTGCCTGTTAGCCTTAGTAACCATCTCGGTCACCAGATCGACTGTGTGGTATCACAGTGCTTGTGTTCAAGTCACCCTCATTTTACTTAGTAATGGCCCCAGAGCACAAGAGTAGTGATGCTGGCAATTCGGATATGCCAAAGAGAGGCTGTAAGGTGCTTCCTTTAAGTGAAAAGATGAAAGTTCTCGACTTAATAAGGAAAGAAAAAAAATCATATGCTGAGGTTGCTAAGATCTACAGTAAAAACGAATCTTCTACCCACAAAATCGTGAAGAAGAAAAAAGAAATTCATGCCAGTTTTGCTGGTGCACCTCAAATACGTATGTACTATTGGAAAAATAGTACATGCAGGGTTCGGTACTATCTGCGGTTTTGGGCATCCACTGGGGGTCTTGGAAGGTGTCCCCCGCGGAAAACGGGGGCCTGTTGTACATAGCCAGCATATGAGAGCCAAGGTGCAAACGCAGCTCTGCCTGCCTAAGAAAGCCAAGTTAACCCCTCCTTCACTCTCATAGTGCCCGATCACGACTCAGGCCAGAGGGGCAGACAGCAGGTTCAAGCCTGTTTGTAGGGTAACACACAGGGCTATTGGGCACCCTCTGGGCTGTATACCCTGCTTGGAAGCACAAGAAATAACAAAGATTTTGGCCAGAAGGTCCTCATTACCAGGGGATAACTTGGGCCAGAAAGAAAAACGAAGTTCTGGCATGCAGGGCCCCTCCCCCAAAGACTGACAAACAGAAGATGAACACATACTTCAAGACGCACCCACACCCTGCAGGGCCCCACGGAGGCAAAGGACAGCTGTCCACAAGCCCAACACAAAAGTCATCACTCAGCTTCTCAGGAGTGACTTGTTTTTCACTTGAAAGGTCAACATTATGCAGCAGAGCAATAAAGCACTGAATTGAGACAGCGTGGGTAAAGCTCTTGGCACAATGACTGGCATATAGCAAGGTGCTCAAAAATGCTGGAAGACATGGGCGGGGGCCTTCCTCTGCGCTTCCCCTTCTCCTCATGGGGCTCTCCAGCAAAGCACTGGCCGCCCAGTACAGCACGGAAGGTACCTGACTGGTGCAAGCATTTGCGTCTGTGACTGAGAGCCTCCTGGAGGCAGGAGCGTGCTGTCACCAGCACAGCTCTGGTACTTGGAAGGTGAGCCACGACTGAGAGCTGAATGGAGTTCACAAATGGGGAGACGGAGAGCTGGAAGGGGCTGGTAGCCACCTTTGGTGATAAGTGGCAGCAGGCGTTCTGGTTCCTGCTCGCCACTCCACACTCACCCTAAACAGAACTCCCAGTTGACAATGCGTGATGATTTGGATATGTTTTTTACTCCACCTCTGGCTTGCCCAGCAGATTGGAAACTCCATGAGAGCAGGGGCCAAGTCCATCTTGCCTACCAGGGTATCTTTAGAGTGGTCCAAAATAGAGCCTCCATAAATCTCTAATCAGAGCAGAAAGACCGAAAGGACCAGGAGTCCTTGACCCTGCCTCTGTTCCTGAGAGGCCATGTGCAAACATCCGAGAGCCTGGCCAGGACCCACTGACCAGAGGCATGTTGGACAACCATATACTTCTAGAATCAGGGCTGGCACAGCCATGCTCCCTCAGAGATGCCCGATGTACGGCCAAGCAACACAGCAGGATGCAGGATACAGGAACTGAAACCCCATCTCCACATCCTCCAAACCACGCAACGCTCAGGCTCACCCTCAGCACTGGGGAGCCAACAGGGAAGCAGTTCAGGGGAAGCAAAAGAGAGGGCAGGCAGGGCTATCCTCCCCGACTCCAGCCTCGGCGGGCAGAGCCTGGGGGCAGGGGGAGAGAACAGGCTGCCAGGCGGTCGGCAGAGGGAACCCAGATGAAGCAGCCTACTGTGAGAAAACCCTCTGGAGATCAGAGGAGCCACCCAAGAGAGGGCCTGGACTTCTAGAGGAAAGAAACACAAAGAGGGAAATGGGGAATTTCCACGTCCGCTGACCTCATGCCCAGCTGGTCAGAGGCAGTTCCAAGATGACTGCCAGGCGGACGGGAACTCTCCTCCCGGTCATGTGGTTTTTATAACCGTTCCTGGAGAGGGGAATCATTCCCAGGATGACAGAGCTGGACAGGAATCTCCAAGGGCAACAAGGCGAATCCCTGTTACTAGGCGTCCAGAGGCTCCTGAATGAGGGGCTGCATCACCCTCCTGCCTCCCAGGGTTCCCCTCGGTCATAGACCACAGAGTGGGTGTGGAAAGGGGAAAGGAGCTGCGGGCCCCACCCCTCGCATGGGGCAGTGCCGGAGTTCAGCGCCTAGGCATCCCGGGGCATGAGCTCAGCTGATGCTCCCTCTTGCTGTGAGGGCAGTGAGTCAGGGTCCAGAGCACGCAGACCAAGGTCACACAAAAAATCAGGATGGAGCCGGAACTAGGAGGTCCCTGCTCTCTGTCCAGTCTGCCCACTGCCTCCACCCTCCGTTTACATACCTGCACTGCGATCCCACTGCAAAGTAGAGCCCCTCCTCCCCTGCCATGTTCCTGCGGGGCCTGGCCACATCCAAGTGGGCCCGGTTCCAGCAGCTACAGATCAGCAGGTGACCCACCAGCAGCGGGACACCAACCCACCTTCCAAAAACAGAAACAGCCGGTGGTGAAGAGGCAGCCAACTCAGGCCTTCTTCCAAAACAAGACCTCAGCTGAGGCGGGCCTCCCATAGCCCATCTGAGGGGCCTGGGAGTGCCCGCCGGAACCAGAAATGCCTGGTTTGGGGGCAGAAGCGGGCCCACAGAGTGTGAAGATGGAAGTGATGCTGTTGAAACTGAGGGAACCATCGCTACAAGAAGAGGAGGAGGAGGAGGAGGAGGCGTGACAGGCGAGCAGCCAAGGGGGTCTGAGGGGGTGGCAGCGTGGGCCCAAATCGCAGCCTCCACTTCAGAAGAGGGTTGAAAATTAAATTTACATTCCAGCTTCTGGACTGAAATGCTTCGCCCACCTGAGACTGTCATGAGATTAGCCATGTGCTAATTAGCAGGGGCTCCAAGGCCCCCCAAATGGTATGAATTTGCATAGCCAATAACATTTGCAAAATACCTAATAGTTTCCCAAGCACTGTTTTTCCACCTGATTGTCACACGGCCTTGGGAAGAAGGCAGGGCTGATGCTGTTTGACAGATGAGGAAACTGAGGCCCACTTGGGAACTTAATCAGCC